AATACAGTCGGAGAATAATTATGTTAGTTTGATAATACAGTCAGAGAATCCGTTAGTTTGATAATACAGTCAGAGAATCTGTTAGTTTGATAATACAGTCAGAGAATCCGTTAGTTTGAAAACACAGTCAGAGAATCCGTTAGTTTGAAAATACAGTCGGAGAATATGTTAGTTTGATAATACAGTCAGAGAATCTGTTAGTTTGAAAATACAGTCAGAGAATCTGTTAGTTTGAAAATACAGTCAGAGAATCCGTTAGTTTGATAATACAGTCAGAGAATCTGTTAGTTTGATAATACAGTCAGAGAATCCGTTAGTTTGATAATACAGTCAGAGAATCTGTTAGTTTGAAAATACAGTCGGAGAATATGTTATAGTTTGATAATACAGTCGAAGAATCTGTTAGTTTGAAAATACAGTCGGAGAATATGTTATAGTTTGATAATACAGTCAGAGAATCCGTTAGTTTGAAAATACAGTCAGAGAATCTACTAGTTTGATAATACAGTCAGAGAATCTGTTAGTTTGATAATACAGTCAGAGAATCTGTTAGTTTGATAATACAGTCAGAGAATCCGTTAGTTTGAAAACACAGTCAGAGAATCCGTTAGTTTGAAAACACAGTCAGAGAATCGGTTAGTTTGAAAATACAGTCGGAGAATAATTATGTTAGTTTGATAATACAGTCAGAGAATCTGTTAGTTTGATAATACAGTCAGAGAATCCGTTAGTTTGATAATACAGTCAGAGAATCTGTTAGTTTGATAATACAGTCAGAGAATCCGTTAGTTTGAAAACACAGTCAGAGAATCCGTTAGTTTGAAAATACAGTCGGAGAATACGTTAGTTTGATAATACAGTCAGAGAATCTGTTAGTTTGAAAATACAGTCAGAGAATCTGTTAGTTTGAAAATACAGTCAGAGAATCCGTTAGTTTGATAATACAGTCAGAGAATCCGTTAGTTTGATAATACAGTCAGAGAATCCGTTAGTTTGATAATACAGTCAGAGAATCTGTTAGTTTGAAAATACAGTCGGAGAATATGTTATAGTTTGATAATACAGTCGAAGAATCTGTTAGTTTGAAAATACAGTCGGAGAATATGTTATAGTTTGATAATACAGTCAGAGAATCCGTTAGTTTGAAAATACAGTCAGAAAATCTACTAGTTTGATAATACAGTCAGAGAATCTGTTAGTTTGATAATACAGTCAGAGAATCTGTTAGTTTGATAATACAGTCAGAGAATCCGTTAGTTTGATAATACAGTCAGAGAATCCGTTAGTTTGATAATACAGTCAGAGAATCTGTTAGTTTGAAAATACAGTCAGAAAATCTGTTAGTTTGAAAATACAGTCAGAGAATCTGTTAGTTTGATAATAGTCAGAGAATCTGTTAGTTGAGAATCTGTTAGTTTGATAATACAGTCAGAGAATCTGTTAGTTTGAAAATACAGTCAGAAAATCTACTTGTTTGATAATACAGTCAGAGAATCTGTAATAAAGTCTAATAAAAACCTTTAGTTTCAGAACAAAGTCTGAAAATCCTTAATTTCAAAATAAAGTCTGAAAATCTTTAGTTTCAAAATAAAGTATGAAAATCTTTAGTTTCAAATAAAGTCTGAAAATCTTTAATTTCAAAATAAAGTCTGAAAATCTTTAGTTTCAAAATAAAGTCTGAAAATCTTTAGTTTCAAAATATAGTCTGAAAATTTTTAGTTTCAAAATAAAGTCTGAAAATCTTTAGTTTCAAAATATAGTCTGAAAATCTTTAGTTTCAAAATAAAGTCTGAAAATCTTTAGTTTCAAATAAAGTCTGAAAATTTTTAGTTTCAAAATAAAGTCTGAAAATCTTTAATTTCAAAATAAAGTCTGAAAATCTTTAGTTTCAAAATAAAGTCTGAAAATCTTTAGTTTCAAAATATAGTCTGAAAATTTTTAGTTTCAAAATAAAGTCTGAAAATCTTTAGTTTCAAAATATAGTCTGAAAATCTTTAGTTTCAAAATAAAGTCTGAAAATCTTTAGTTTCAAATAAAGTCTGAAAATTTTTAGTTTCAAAATAAAGTCTGAAAATCTTTAGTTTCAAAATAAAGTCTGAAAATCTTTAGTTTCAAATAAAGTCTGAAAATCTTTAGTTTCAGAAAAAAGTATGAAAATTTTTAGTTTTAGAAAAAAGTATGAAAATTTTTAGTTTTAGAAAAAAGTATGAAAATCTTTAATTTCAGAATAAAGTCTGAAAATCTTTAGTTTCAGAATGTAGACTATTATTCGGATAGCTTGACAATATAGACTATGAATCTTGACTTGTAGTAAGAAAAAATTGTTATTTCTAACCAAAATATGACTTTTCATAGACAGCCATCATCCAAAAAATGATATACCCCGTATCAAACTTTATTATAGTCTTTATTTCAAGTATTTTTTAAACAAAGTGATACAAACACAAAATGATGAAAACATAAATTCAAACAATTTTAGGTTACATGATAAATACACAAAACAAGTTATTTTTCAAATATTTTTACTATAATGGAACATTGTAACATATAAAATACAAAAATCTCGACTTGTCATTTTCTTAAATCACAAAGAACATATACAGATAATAAAATATAAAAAATATAAATTTTCTGTAAGCACATTCAATATTATTATATCAATTTTTACCATTAATACTATAACAGTCTTCTATTTTCGAAAATTGAAGTTATATATTCTCATAGAACAAAGTGCAAGGCCAGTATATTTCTTACCAAATGATTGTACAGTGGACCACGATTCAGTGATCAAATCAAAACAATCTATTTTCGCTAGCCGTACTTTGGTATCCCAATCGTAACCACCGGCAATATAAATCTTATTGTTTATGATGGTGCAGCCGAATTCAGATCTAGGATTAGGTAAATTTGAACCTTTAAGAACGACCCAGGTATCTGTTGAGGGAGTGTAACGCTCTATATTTTTCACACAGACCAAATGATCATGTATATCGACTGTGGCTCCCCCTATTAAATATAAATTGTTATTATATGAAGTCAGATGTGCATAAAATCGAGGTAAATTGATTGGTTTTCTGATTTCCCAGCTATCATTTGAAGGACAGTATCTTTCAACACGACTTGATATAATCTTACTCTCTGAAATAAAATTCAAATGTAAGATGAATGGCTCAAGAGAACGCGATTTAAACATGTCTAAAATAATGGATATTATAAAATGCAGAGTTGCAGAATTTGTATTTGGAACATCTCATGCGAAAGAACTACCACAACCTAATAATAATTAACATTTAAAAGAATATCTTTATTTATGCCAAAATACTTCCCATTGCATGAAAAGAGACTAAATAATAATATAAATACAGGGTTACCTGAACCACCGACAACATAAATTTTACCATTATGGGTCGTAGCTGCAAAACTTTGTTTAGGTGTTGACAATGGCGACATTAATGCCCATGCATCTCGACTAGGATCATATACCTCCACAGATGACAAGGACTTCTTTTTATCTAGCCTTCCACCTGAAATGAATAATACCAGGCGTTTGTCATTTCGTACTGATTGATCAGTTTTAAACTATTCTAGGTCCACAAGGCTCTAGGAAATTCTCCTTGCTTTGATTTGCAGTATTGTTAAGGGATGCAATTATATCTTAATAACGACAACATAATTACATACCATAACAGATTAATAATATCCATTTGGGTCTTGCAAGAAACTTGTGTTTTAAGCTTATACATGCCATAAATTATAGATTTTTTTTTTCATGTTTCTGTAAGAACTAGAATAATACTTATTCTAATCCGTAGCATGGTTCAGTTTTTGATATCATTTATAATTCAAAGCAACATAGTTCATCATACCCACTGCATATAACTTGTCATTTAAAACAACCATCTGAAAACTCTCCCTTCTGTGTTTCATGCTTGCTATCTGCAACCAGGTGTCATGGCGGGGATCGTAGCGGAAAGCTGAGTTTGATGGAAAGCCGCGGTTATTGGTTATTTCACCACCAGTGATATACAGGAAACCATTCATCACGGCCACTGAAATCAACAATCAATTACAGACTTCTTTCACAATTCCCTAGTTATTTTACCCTACACAAATACATCCGAGCCTTTACACTGGTTTGTGATTTGGAGTCATTAACTCAACGATTTGCCCAGTGAAAATTTAGTAGTTTATGTCCGTCTCAAGCTATAACATGTCTAAATTGTATAGTTTTATTCTGCAGCATAATGAATAATGCACATTTCATTGTCTGATGAGGAGAGGAGAAATTCAAGAAACCATCTGAACTGACCAAATGATAAATAATTTTGAATAGCGAAGATATTTGTAGGCTGAAAGTTGTCGAAATACGGAAAATGTGATTCAAAAATGGTATCACATTACTCAAGCAATATTCCCATCTCAAGTCTTTATCAAAACCAAACCTATTTCTTGTTGACAAATTTTCCAAGAAACTTGAGCAGATCATGTTAAACTTCAACAAATACCATTCCAGACAAATGCAGTAAGGAATTCTGGAACACCGAAAATCCCGCTAGTCCCGTTGGTGATTTGAAGGTTCGTGTTTAGGTCAACCTGAATGATGAACGCAACCATATAAAGACAACGATATCAGCTGGTCTTAACATATTGAATTTGGTTACATGTTGCTAAGTGTTGTGTGTTAGTAAAACCTACAAGTTGGTCGACTTACCAGCATGATGATGTCTGGGTTCTGGCAGACATGCTGTTAATTCCCATCTACTATCTGGATTATTGATATCTAATACTAATATATCACAACTAATACGATCTGTTTTTAATCTTGGTGCACCACCAACTACTACCAGACAGTCATCACTGTACGCTATCCTTGGTTCTGTTCTACTCGTCTGAAAGATACATTGTATGGCATAAATAGGCCAACAGAAATTGATAAATTAATTTCTCAATTTAAAGGAGCGGAATATTTCATTCCGATGCGTAAAACGATGGGTATAAAACTTGCTTCATACTGATACAAAATAATACGGATGATAATAATGATGAAAACACACATTGACAATGAGGATTAGGATAATCTGTATTCCGGTTAGTGTTGATCATGATAGGAAGAACCATATGGACATTGGGGATAAGCAAGAATTGGCATATAGTGATCATTACTGATAATAGGACGAATGGTAATGAAAACATAATATTTGGACAAAGGGTATTAGGATGGCGTCATCATGACGAATTGCAAACATAATATAAACAAAAATAATATGAATAACCTTGAATGATGATGATTACTGATAGTGACGAAAGTGACGAATACTGATGCCGGTGATGATGACGTGAAGGATAATATTATAATTAGATCTCATTATAATTAAAAATAATAAAACAGTCCCTGTCCTCCATATTCTGTTTATGTTCCCCTCTGATGATAATGCTGATGCTTGTGCAGATGATAACGATTAGTGATTCTGAGTTTTGTGACTACGACCAGAACTCTTTCTCCAGATAATAAAACTAATTCATCAGTTACCTGCAACAGGGTTTGCCTGCATGGCATACAATGATAATGTAAGGCATCTTTAACCATTTCATCGCAGTCTGGTATATCCATCAAATATCTAACACTTTCAACTTTATCAATGATCTCAGATGGAGTCATCAAAGGAAGACGAACATTTGCTAATAATTCTGTTGCGTATTGTATTCTTCGCTGTTTATCTGTTTCAATCCATGCCAACATTCGTTCAAAAACATCATACTCGTTTTTCACATTGAGATCATTACGCTTCAGAAGAAGAATCAGTTGTTCTACAGGCACATAACGAAATTCTGAGCCTTTTGTAGCATGTTGGAAATTTCTTGCTGCATTTTCTAAGCATTTATCGGATAACATCGACAGGTCGTATGTACTCGCAATATCCATGTATAGAAAACAATTTTCGGTTGTAAGGTGCTCGATCAAATATTCTTCACAAGCTTCGTGGATACCAAGAAAACCAAGCATAGTAGCTGTTGATAAAACATCTCTTATCGTATTAGGGGTTAAAGATATTTTACCAGTATACATACAATCTAATATTGAATATATCGTACTAGCTTTGACATCTTCTAGTTCTATCTGGTTGGATCCAGGTTTGTCCTTTCCATCGCTGAATTTTTCGAAGAAAAAATCCGAACAGGTGGCAAGAACTAATTTATGTGCTAGGAAATTTTTACCTTCCACTATTAACAAAACATCACACATTAATTTTTGGCGCCATAACGCATCAATTCCATTCAGCAGACAGTCTGAAAAATTAAAGATAGTCTTCGAGCTTCTTGATCCTTCTTGGGACGAACCTTTATGTTGCCGTTCAAGCTTCTTGGCCAGAATAGTGCGATAGCTTCCGGTGTTCTTGCTGGCAAATCCATTCGGCTTTTTGAACATATTAATATATTTTCGCTACTTTAAACTACATGATGTTAGTATCTTTCATTTTGGGTTGGACTAGGTTCTATTCAAATTTAACAAAAGAATGACGCAAAGCGTTGCATTAATTATGACGTAAGTGTGTAGACTACACCTTGCTAAGTGTAGATATTGTAAACACGTTTCGTGCATTAGGATAAGCGTAAAACTATTTTGGAATGCACTGAACTACTTTGGCTCCCTTAAACGTGTATAAATCTATAAAGAAAACTACTTTATTGCAAATCAAATTGTAGGCCTATGAAAAATTGGTTTATTTGTTCATGGTTTAAGAATTAAAAAGACGTTTCTACTTAGGCAATCTAATCAGAGCAATCTTACCTGAAACGGTGTGAAATGCCAAATAACGGTGTCAAATAATAGGCCTAATGAAAGAAATCAACCAATAGTCTATTTAGGCTAGTTTGCAGTGGCAAAGATAGATCGATCCCGTAACACACCATTGCATTGTTTCGATATTCAGTCACTTATGAAAATTTAGTAGCCTAGGCAATTTATTGCAACATCGATACATCATATTGTTTGCACGTTGTTTTTAATAGTTTGCGCTAAATGTTTTCATAGTTTGCGCTTAGATTTTCTTAGTTATCGGTCTTTGTTGTTTAGCTTTGTTTTCGCTTTTTAGTCGCATAGCCGCCATAGGTCTATTATAGAATAGATTTAGTTTTGGGACTACAAAATTTTGAATGCGCTCAACAATCTTCAAAAAGTTTTGTGTCCACTGTCCGCTGAAGTAGGCATATTATGGGAAGACCTTTAAGGATTTCGATCTAAGGGGAACAACTCGATTTATGAACTTTTCTCCCTTGAAAACTCTTGAATGCAGAAGGTCAAAAAGGTTGACAACATGGCCACCATGTGTCGTGGGTCTCTGAGTTCTTCTCGTCAAACGTTGATTTATCAGGTAGAATGCCAATGAAATGTAGCAACTTGAGATGTAAAATGCTATCCTGTTAGCAGCAATTCCGGTTTAACCCGACAATCGGTTTATTACATGTTCTGTTTTATAATAATTACACTTATCTTGCCGGATTATCTTGTAACATTTTGCCTTTGCTCATGTAATGTCAATGCAATTGAACCTATTGAAAGTAAAGATCTCTGCTGACCATGGTCATGATATTTGATTTTCAACTGTTTTTTTTTTCAGATTGTGAAATCTAGAACTCATAAACCTAATGTTAGTCATGTTCATACAGTATCTAGTTCTAAAAACCATAATTACCTTCAATCCCACCGTTGGTTATCAACACCATGTATACATCATCATATCAATTGTACTTCATTACATCACCCACCTTCTCACAGTATTTTATCACAGGTAATGTTTTAATTATATTACGTTATATTTCATAGTCTATCATTCTAGATATTTACTCTCTAAGACCCTTATACACAATAGCCTAGCCTGTAATTCTGAGTTGATTTTTTATACGCCCACACGTCCGTCCGTCCGTCCGTCCGTTCACATTTACCTCATGCTCACTCTACAGGCGACAATTCTCTATAGATTCTTTTGATCTTTTGTATGTGTTTCAATATCATTATGAAGATGTGCACTATTGAATTTGGTGATGATCCGATGATTTTCTTTAGAGAAATCGCATAAAATTTTTTGGCTCGTGCTGACTCTACAGGCTACGATATAGAGTTTGTTTTACAGTTCACATTTAGCTCTTTATCAAGCTGCTGGTGGCCGTATTCGCTTACGAGTCTTGCCGCAAGCCTATGTTCAATTGCTTCATTAAAATGAAGTTTGCATTAACATGTCTTTGATCTGCAATTGACTTCAGGGCTATCAAAAATTAAGGTTTGATAGTTTTTTGTTTTTAAAAAAAAAACATGCTTTCTTTGCAGAAATTACATCTGAAAATGACTCATATTTTGACCTGAACCTGAAATCCTTAAAAATCATATTACTAAGTAATAATTTGTTGTTGGCATCAATCTGAAGACAATAAAAGACAAAAAATTTATTTAAATTCAACACTTTTCAAAATTTATTACTTTCTCTGGGGCATTTTGATTCCTCAGTGAGTTTAATCAGACTGAGAAATAGTCAAATTCACCTTGAAGAAGGATTTTAAAATCTAATGTTCTTTCTTTTTCAGTCTATTCGTTGTATGTCAGATGGGGGAAGACGACCAGGTTTTTTCGAGAATATCATTAATAATATTAAACAGGAAATGGCAAAGAATAAAGAAATGAAGGTTAAAGAGATGTTTTATTCTTTCCAAGCTCTCAAGCAAATTATGATCAGAAAACATTTTGCAGTGTTATTGGCATATGATTATAAAATATGAAGCATTTTCCTAAGATTTAAAGCTGTTAATCTTTTTTTTTTTGTACAAATAGGGATATGCACTGAGAATGCATTGTTTTAGCTTTTACTGTTTATTATGATCTTTCAGGAGAGTCTTAGCAAGTTTAAACAAGAAACATCAAAACTTGAACAATCAGATGCCTTAAAGAAAGCTAGACAAAAGTTTGTAAGTTAAATTATTATGTAAACTAAAATTGAGTTATATTTCGGTTTCATACAATTGATATCAAAGTACTGAAGGAAGCCAGAAAATTGACAACATGATCTTGATTTGGCCTGAATGATATAAATATAGTATAAATTCGCTAGTCAAGATTTAGTGACCTCAGTTTTCATCAAATTTGAATCATATATCTATATGCACCTTCTCTAATTTTAATAGTTTTTCGAACTTACAGCCTATTTTTCAGTGTTTTTGATTTGATCTTTTTATTCAGGATACGATAGAAGCTGAAACTAAGAAAAGTGGTACCGTGTTGAAAAAAAAATTTGGGGATGTAAGGGAAAGATTATCTGAGGTAAACATAACCAGTATAAGATGTCAACTGATCTGGTAGATTTTTAGGTTTTGGTTTCCATTTGTTTGTTGAGCTTACTACAAAGCAATTAGAATTTTATCTGTAGGCCTATGACACAAGCCCAAATATGAAATCAATTAGGGTAGCTATTTATATAGGCTTTACTTAAATTGCACTTTTAGATCTGTGTAATATGTTATTTTTGATGGTCACTCATGATCTGCAGAATTTATTTTTTAAATGAAGTTCAGGCAGTTCTGCTTAGCAGTCAATACGTGGTTGAAAGTGGACTGACAATTCAAGTCAATGTTCAGCAAAGAATATCTTAGAGTCCAACATGTGAAGAAGAGAAAGCTTTTACCGAATGGTGCATTCAGTGGATTGAATATGTTAGTAATAGTACCCACACAAAACAAACCAGTCTTTTTTATCAGATTGTGATTTAGGCTTATATTCATTAGTGATGGGATATCATCTCTGATATATATATATACTATGATACTTAGTTTGTTTGATACAGTTCATTTAACATAAATGAATGGCTTTTCACTTTATTGTTGATTTTTCAGACTATGGAGGAAGTTCAGAAAACAGAATTTATGAAGAAAGGTAAAGATATCACAGAAGAAATCAGTAAAACTGCTGGCAAGGCTGCAGAAACTATCTCTAAACAAAGTCAAAATATAGGTCAAACATCAGCATTTAAAAATATATCAAAGGTATTTTTTTCAATATCAATTTTATTGGTAATAATAATAATTGAAATGATATCATAGTTTAGATTTAAAATTCCAACAGGCCAGCTATTTTTAGAAATTGGGAGTTGTTCATACTGATGATGGTTATAGTCATGTTAGACATGCAGGTAAAATGTGATACCAATTTTGTTTAAAACATATTATGTGATGTCAAATTCGTCATGCAATAAACCTTAAATCTATTTAAAGAATTTTTTGTGAATCTCCAGTAAATCCCAATATTTTTCTTGTATGATAGACAACATGGTTTCTGGATCAGAATAGAAGATATACTCATGATATTTATTACAGGGTGTAGGAGTTGTAAAGGATGAAATAGCATCAATTCCTGGTGCCAAAACATATATACCTCCAGGTAATTAAGACACTTTAGCAGAAACTATGCATCATAATGTAATTCCCTTTAGTAGATTTCTCTCTGAAGGTCCATAAGCTAGAGGTTTGAGGTTTTCTGAGCAATAAAGAAAACCAAGTAATAATCTAAACAGCAACAGGAAACCCGACTTCCAAAACAACAGTTTGGTAGAAGCCAATGAACTATTCATATGAGAAAACAAATCAATCAAGAATGAGAAAGTATTTCATAGTTAAAAGCAAGCAACCTTGATCACCATTTTCTCTTGCAGAAATATTAAGAAAACGTTCCGAGAAATCAAGCAGTAGAGTGGAAGAAAAAATTATAGAGCCAGATGAGTGGGTAGAATTATGTTTGCAGTTTCAATATTGTCTCATTGTTATCTTAAGGATAAGCTTACATGCCATTAAATGAATTGCTATGTAATATAAACATTTATACTTATTACTTAAAGAAATTCTTTTGTAACATTCAAGGCAAACAAATATTCAATGTAATCTATTTTGTCCTGTTAATGCTGAAGTGAGCACTTGATGCCTCCAACCATCCTCCTTTGATATGGTTATTTGTTATATTGAGTTTGCTAAAAGATAAAAATATGTGTTGCTTTCTTGTTATTGTTATTGTTATTTTTGTCTATTTTTAGTCAATCTTCAGGAATGGTACTACATAAAGATTCTAAATACTATCAAAGTTGGCAGAATTTTAAAGACAATAACCAATATATAAATAGTAAGTATCCGCAGCTTTATTTATTGGCAGCACACAACACAATTCAGTTTTTAGTTTTAATCAAATATTTGTTAATAATAAGCGGGTTGTGGGTTGCCACACTTGATCTGATTACATTCAGGGTGTTATACTTACAATTCACTATTTGCATTTGGCTTGTGCCATTAATAGTAATTTTATAGAAATCTTTTTTCCATGTAATGTTTGAAATTAATAATAGAAATGTTTGATATTATGTTTTTTAGAAGTGTTTGAAATTAATAATAGAAATGTTTAATATTTTGTTTTTTAGAAGTGTTTGAATTTAATAATAGAAATGTTTAATATTTTGTTTTTTAGAAGTGTTTGAAATTAATAATAGAATTGTTTAATATTATGTTTTTTAGAAATGTTTGAAATTAATAATAGAATTGTTTAATATTATGTTTTTTTAGAAGTGTTTGAAATTAATAATAGAAATGTTTAATATTATGTTTTTTAGAAATGTTTGAAATTAATAATAGAATTGTTTAATATTATGTGTTTTAGAAATGTTTGAAATTAATAATAGAAATGTTTAATATTATTTTTTTAGAAGTGTTTGAAATTAATAATAGAAATGTTTAATATTATGTTTTTTAGAAATGTTTGAAATTAATAATAGAAATGTTTGATACATGTATTATTTTTTTTAGAAGTGTTTGAAATTAATAATAGAAATGTTTAATATTATGTTTTTAAGAAATGTTTGAAATTAATAATAGAAATGTTTGATACATGTATTATTTTTTTTAGAAGTGTTTGAAATTAATAATAGAAATGTTTAATATTATGTTTTTTAGAAATGTTTGATTTAAAAATGCAGTATGATGAAAGTGATAATCCTGTAATTCGAGTATCAAGAAATTTAACAGATAAAGTTGGTCAAGTATTTAGTAAGTTTGACTTTTAAAGATTTCGGATTGGATAAAATGAATAGTGACCTATGGTCTGCATAGGAGACTGATTATCCGGTTGTGGAAGCAGTGGTCAGATGTAATAATAATAATATTTCTTGTTTTAAGACCATTACACATAAGTCTCAACAGTCTGTACAGAACAAATAACAAATAACAGATATAAAAACAATACAAATAGAATATAAAAAGTACAGATAAACTTGGCATGAGTGTTTGTAATCACCCATGGATAAACCGTATCGACAATCAGAAAAATTGAAAAATATTTATTATGAGTTATTGCGTATATTACCTTGCCTGGCAAGCTATCTTTTTGTTTGAATGCATACCTACTAAAACATAAACCAACCAGAAGCGAAAGGCTGTTTTTGGGTAGTTGTAAGTGATTTCAGTACCAAAATTACAGCTTTGATGGGAATTACGAGAAACCTGGAATCCTGCTCTGAAACTTGATTATCAACTTCATTGCAAATTTTTATTTAAACTAAATAAAGATGACATATTTTGATGTTTAAAAGCTTATGTAAAATATAAATATAAAACATAAGAATTCTTTTTTTTTGTTTTACAGGTGGAATGTTTTCAAAGACTGAAATGTCTGAAGTTCTAACAGAAATATGTAAAGTAGATCCTAAATTTGATATTCACAAGTTTATAAAAATGTGTGAAGTAGACATTATACCAAATATATTAGAGGTAATGTAATACTTATATAGATGAATAATACCTGATTTCTTAACATAAAATAACTATAAACAACAGATCTCAATGATTTGAAGAGTAAAATTTTTTAAACTTATATTTTAACCTTTTCAAAACATCTGTTTTTAAATTTACAGGCTATGATAAGAGGTGATTTAGAAATTTTAAAAGACTGGTGTCATGAAGCAGTAAGATTTTTATTTTTATCTCATATTATCATTATTTTTTCAAATTTAGTTTAAATATGTTCATATTCTAAAATTTCTGTTTTTTTTAGCCTAACAATACATTGAAAAAAGTATTATTGTGGCTACAACAGGATGCTCAGTGATGCATGCCCGCTAACCTTAAGATCCATTAAACTGAGACCTCATGTGCTACCGGCTGTCCTCTCTTGACCGTTCGAAATTAAAAAAGGGTAAGCTTATGCCGTTAACCCGACAAAATCTACATCATTGCACACTCTCTGGCCCATCTTCAATAACCATGGTGCATAAAAGGAGGATGTAAAACACCATTTCATTTGTCAGCCTAACAATGCTTTTTATGTTTATGTTTATATATTATATAAAAGAATTATTGTGGCTCCTTAATTTGTTTTGTAATATATAAATGTGTGTTTCAGCCATATAATGTGTTATCTCAACCTATTACAATGGCAAGACAAGCAGGATTAGTCTATGATTCTAAAATATTAGATCTTGAAGATGTAGATGTAAGTTTATTTAACAAAGTTTCTTTAATTAATTATAGATATACACTGCAGTCTTCAAATTCAGCATAAGAAAAAACAAAACCGTATTTGCCAAAAAACACAACTAGAGAGAATTTTTAAAAGTTTCATTTACTTCAATCATTTTTTCAATGAAAGCTAAATTTGTCTGTGTTAGCCTTATGATGCCCTGCAGGAATGTTAAATTATCCTATGCTTACTACAGACAATCATCCTTTTGATGATTTCTATAAAAGAATTTTTTTTTTTAATTTATTTGTGATTATCTGACATGAAGATTTATAATATGTTTTGGCTGATATATTCAGGTAGTAACTGGTAAATTAATGGAACAAGGTCCTGTTTTAATTATTAATTTTCATACTATGCAAATAAGATTACTTAGAAATAGTAAAGGTGAAATCAAAGAGGGAGATCCAGTAAGTTCAGTTCATTAATTAATCTTTATCAGTAAATGTAACGGACAGAGTCTTGAGTAAAATTGAGTTGTCTTTATAATTTTAAAATGCGAATAATTCTGGACACACATGGATTTCAAAAGCTCAAATTTCGACAGTGAGCTGTGAACACTATAACTGAAGAGCATAGCTTAATAATTCTTGTTACTAAGACTTAGGTACGATTGGTCAAAGAGATGGCGAATCTGTCCCTTTAAGATATCTATTGATATAAAGTAGGTTTGTAAGTTATTGTCTCTGAAAACGTAGTCCAAGAGTCTTGATGTTTTGATTTGATATTATATTTTTTACGAGGGATATTGACATTATTTCTTGTTTTATAGAATATAGAGCTCTAATTCAGCTATCCATAGTACTTTGTTTTTGCTTCAGAAAAAGGTATTAAAAGTAACAAGTGTATGGGCATTATGTCGAGATCAAGAAGAGCTAGATCCACGAGCTGCCTGGAAATTAATGGACATGTCAGAACATGCTACCAGTATGTTATTCTGAATAGTAAGTGTTTTTTTTTATCTTTCCTAAGTTTGAGCTGTTGGCACTAAAAAATTCTCATATAACAAATGATACAGAATTTATCAGTAGATTTTTTGAGGCAATCACTCATGTTTTTCTTAAAATTAAATGTTTAAAAATGAACAAAGTCTGTAGTGCAAATTAAGGTGACGCTTGATTGGAGAGTTATGAATAGGTTTTGATTGTTTTAATTCTAGCCTCAATCTAATGGTACGGAAGCATATATGTCACATTCAAAGTAGCCTAATATATCCAGAGGGCAATCCTGTTAAGTTGCATTAATGAAATGGGTCTATAGATAGGTGTATAGTAGCATTAATGAAATAGGTCTATTGTCAGAATTTTTTCAGGGGGCAATCCATTTTATTGCCACCCCTGTAGCTACAGCACTGCAGTAGAACATAATCATGTACAGTTTCAGTAACAACCTACAGTCATTTATTTTATACCTGATCTTTTCTTTCTTAATTAGATGAAAAACAGATAATTATTGTCATAGCATGTCTTTCAAGAGAACAGATGAGAGAATTCTGTGATGTGTTTTACATGTCAACAGGAAACAAGAAATAGTATTTTACATTCAACTAATTCTAACAAGCTGACCAACTGAGTTCAGGATGTTACAAACTATGAGTAAATATTCACCAGTTTAACCAATATTGATCTGTAATATAGTACTATCAGTGTAATAGTTTTAATGTATTTAGAAAGATTTTTTACAAGACAGTGTGTTTGAGAGATTATAATGTTTAGTTCTTATTGTTAAATATTACGCAAAGATTTCTATATTGTACATTTTTAAAACCTTGTTTAAATTTTCTATTTGTGAATAATTTGGTGATGAACAATTATTATACAAAATTTACCAAATGAAAAAACTCGTGAGCAAAAATATTTCCTAGTGCTTTTTTTCTTGCAATAGAATTATTATTATAAATTTTGACCATGGGATATGTTTGTTTTCTATAATGTGCAGGTTATATTTTGTCTAATCTTGGATTATTGAATATTATGTTAGTGATTTTCTGTATGATATTGTTAATATATTAAGATTTGTTTATTATGTATATAATAAAATAATATCAACTATACTGATATTTCATTTTTATAACCTTAGGCCTATAGTTATATTTTCATTTACATTCAACTATACTTGAAAATTCAATTCTCAAATGTATAACAATAACAAAAGCTACATGTAGACTACTCTATTAAATATAATTTTTACAAATAATTGTATTTTGGCAAGCAAAAACTGACATCTTTACACAAATTCTGAAGATATCAGTACTGACAAGTTTCAAGTAAAGTAAGCTCAAGTTGAATACAGATTTTCAATTCAAGCTAAGATGGTCTATAAAGTGTCTGGCTTCTACAGTTGATGATTTCCACCATAGAAAAAAAAATTAAAAAGGCAAAAGAGAACAGGAATCTGAAATTTTTTGAAATATGTTATCAACACATGATTACATCAATAATATCTGGCTTGTTGGTTTATCACAATGTAAACTACTCATTGTTGAAAGACTGGATAAGGCATCAGTAACATTGTCTATGTGATTTGCCTTGTTTAAATCAACATCTTCATCTTGATCAGAATTATCATTTTCTTCACTATCTTCCTCACTCTCACCATCACAATGTTTATTACTTTCTTCTCTTTTAGCACTTAATTCATTTAAATTTGTCCTTAGAAAAGTTCCTGAAAAAATATTTAGATAACTATATCATAACCTTACATAATCATGTTCCAAGCATAATGTATTAACAAAAGATACTATTCTAAATTACAAAATATATTCCCCACTATTTTGTATAAAAAATTAGTTACAGATTATTCGAAATTCCACTTAATTAATTGAATTTCTTATTTTCATATCTCTCTATATTTTGCAGGTAGTCAGCAATTGGTTTCTTTCACTATTTCATAAAAAGAAGCTAAGTCTTGTTTTATTATCATCATTAGAGTCAATAAGTAAATGCATTATCTATATAAGTCTATGTATAATCATATACATTTTTAATTTAACATGAAAACACATTTAAACACAACTTTAACCCTGTGTAAACTTTTGTTTTACAAGCAAATATTATCTACCATAGAACCAGTGTTCTTTTTATACACATTAGATTATGAACTAACTAAGGGTAATACCTATGCCTTTTCTTTAATAAGATAAGGACCCCAAATTTTACAAACAACACTACATGTATTACTTAACAATACTAATAAAACTGAACATTTTAATCAACTGTATTTAAAACTGAAAAATAAAATTTTTTCTTAATCTATTCAGGAAAAAGAAGAATATATAAGACCATTTTTTATACGGCCACATAAAACGGGAGGAATATATTGTTGTCACTCATGTCCGTCTGTCGGTCCGACCATCCACAATTGCTCGTAAACACTCTGGAAGGCACAATTCTTGACTCTTGGTATGATTGTTTGTAATCACCCAAGGATACACCCTATTGAAAATCAGAAAAATATTTAGTATGAGTTATTGCCCTTGTTTTTGAAAATGCATTCAACTTTTAACTCGTAAACACACTAGACGGTTCAATTGTTGACAGATTTTTATGGAACTTGGTGTAAGTGTTAATAATCACCCAAGGATGAAAACCCTATCAAATTACAGCAAAAATCGAAAAATATTTAGTATGATTTATTGCCCATGTTCTTGAAAACGCATTCAATTGTTAGCTCGTAAACACAGATGTTCTTAAGAACACATTCAAGTTTTAGCCTATAAACACTCTTGATGGTCCAATTCTTGAGAGATTTTGACGAAACTTGGTAATATTTTTCAGTATCGCCCCAAAAGTTCAAAAGAAGTGTATGACTGAGGGTTGAATATTTCATACTGGTGATTGTTACTGTACTAGATATTTTTATTTAAAATCAAAGCTGCCAGTGGGCGTATATTACCTTGCCTGGCAAGCTATCTTCAGGTTTAAATTTTGTCAAAGAGTTAAGTTCTAAAAATTTTAACCTTTAGCTTCATTAGCAACTGTTCTTTCTATTTACCAAATACGGCAGAAAATAAGCCTAACTTTAAGATACTACTTACTTCTTTCTCTCTCAGACGTAAACTTTAATTCATTTTCAAGCCGACTCTTCTGAGCTTCCTCATCTTGAGGACTTGACCCTGGTCTAAAATTGTAAATATTCTAATTAAGTGTTTACATTTTTGTAAATTAAATATTATTAAAGAATGATTATCAACAATTTCTCAAATTTGAGAAATACTCAAAATAGATTAATTTAGATTAAACAAAAGAATAATGTGACTAAGTTACAACAAAATCAAATGTTTTAAGAATGAGTGACAATATACACCCCGCAAAATATGTATGTTGCATAGATAAATACTTAATATTCTTACTGATGCACTATTGGTTCGTGTTTATTACACATTGCACAAACTTTATCTTGGGTGGAACATGGCATACATAAAATATAATATGCTCTTTTTACACTCTTCTCTCCACATTTATTGCTACAAAAATAACAGAACAGATCATGATGAAACTAGAGCTTATATCATACTTCTGATAGCTTACAAGCTGTATTCCCCTATACTACAGGCTTTGATCGTACTTTCACAATTTTCAAATCAAATATAATTTCTCCCATTACACAACTTCATTAGCCAAATCTAGAGGCCAAATGGAAAACAAAACTCTCATTCCATTTCATTTTATACTAACTGCATATTATATGTTTAACATCCTACCGATCATACCTTACATTTTCATTATTTCATACAATTTATTGGAAATTTGAAAATTACATTTAGTGTTTTAAACACATCTATACTTACCACCTTCTTGGTGCTGTTAATGCTTTATATTTCTTGTATTTAATTTTCCATTCTATCTTTTCTTTACAATGTTGACAAACTCCAAGTATTTGCATATTATTCAACTCTTTTATCTTGCCAGATGCCTCATATTTAGTGTTTTTAAATGATGAAGAATTTTGGTGTCTTTGCTGTCGTGATTTTTTCACATTACCTTTCTGGGATGACATAACTGCAACAACCTGTAAAAAAAAAAAATTATAATCACAACCCCAAAAAGTTAAAATAAATCCTAATGCCACTAATTAAAACCTGTTGTCCCTGATCCCCAGCCCATGATATTGAATAATGTCAATGTATATGCCAATTAATAGAATACCAGTATCAATAAAAATGACATGGAAAATTGAAAGATCCATGCTTAGAATTGATAAATGATGACCCTATTTACTTGTGTTCTAATTAACGAAAGATTTTATTATCGATGCATTTAAGTTAAATGCTTAATGGACTAATTAGTTTTTGTCACCATTAGTTATTAATACTAAAGAAGAAATAGTAGATTACAACACGTGTGGAAATCACTGGCTTATTATAAATAAACCATTAATGTTTACATACCAGGTAGTCTCATTTTTCCAGTCAGAACAATTTCAAAAGGCTCATTATTTTGAGCATCTGCAAATCGTTATCAACATGCTCCGACAAATGATTTTGATCTTTGTACCAACACTTTTAGTTTTTTTTTTTAGTTAATTTGCAGTCAGTTTCTATCATTCGTTTACCGCGTGTTCTGTGATTGTAACTGATCAGAGGGATGAAATCTTGGCTCCCGTTCCTGACCCACTCCAAAGCCATCAACTTCATCTATCGTATGGACTAAGATAAATTGTGGTTGAAAATTTATGAATTCCCCTCTCTTTAGAGCACAAAAGAATGTGCTAGACACCCACAAAACGAAGTATTCGTATGTATTAAGACCAATTGCAATCGATAATAGAATTTTAAACCCCTTATCACCTCAACCCACAACATATTTATAAATGTGACAATTTTAGTCCAAGCTTTTATTTGAATTTAGTTCATTTAAACATCTTTCGCTTCTTCTTTTTTAGTCCAGTATTGTGTCTTGATTATCCGGACATGACTTCAGATAAATAAAAAAATAATCAATATATAAATGGTTCAAATTGAATTTAAAAAGTAGCGGTCAATCAGACAGACGATTGAATAAAGAAGTGATTTCCACAACAGTTAAAATGAGCTGAAGTATGGGTCACATTTTTCTCTTTGCAAAATAAAATTGCGAAAATAAGCCCTTATATCCGGAAGTGGACATTGCATGACGTCATCAAGCTCTGGGATAGTTGACAGAAATTTATGGACAATATTGCCTTGATATAAATGGTGAATATTCGGACGTTTTGTTTTGTTTTTCACACACAATTGGAAATTAAAGGGAGTTGACGATTTCTCTGATTAACTTTAGTGTTAACGCCTTACAGGACATTCATTTGAAAAGAAGGAGATGAATGGATTATCTCTCAGCGAGCTTTGTTGTCTATTTTGTTGTCCGCCATGTCCAAACAGAATAGCAGCCAAGTTGGCATTCCTCCCCCCAGAACCCACATACTCTCTCATTTCTGATGAAGCTGGGTCTAAGCACAGTCTTCATTTGACAGACCGAGCTGAATGGCAATATACACAGCGTGAGTTAGACTGTATAGAAGTGTTTATGACAAGAACTTCCAAGGGAAACCGTATTTCATGTATGTTCGCAAGGTGCTCACCAAATGCCAAATTTACCATTTTATTCAGTCATGGAAATGCTGTGGATTTAGGACAGATGAGTAGTTTTTATATTGGACTAGGAACTCGTATAAACTGTAATATATTTAGCTATGATTATTCTGGCTATGGACCAAGCTCAGGGAGACCCTCCGAGAAGAATTTATACGCAGATATTGATGCAGCATGGCAAGCACTTAGAATGAGATATGGTATAAGTCCTCAAAATGTTATATTATATGGTCAGAGTATTGGTACAGTTCCAACAATAGACTTAGCCGCAAGATATGAAGTAGGAGCTGTTATACTCCACTCACCATTAATGTCTGGAATGAGGGTAGCTTTTCCAGAAACAAAACGAACATGGTTTTTTGATGCCTTTCCTAGGTAAGATAGATATTGGAATGAATGCCAATTCACATGCTTAAATTAATTTTGTGAATTTGTCTCTAATGTCTTAATTAAAAGAATTTAAATCAAACCTTTGATAAGTTCATAACAAGGTTAAAAATATTCTTAATCAGAGGCTCATTAGTAAATGATACAAGAAACATGTGGATGCTTCTAGAATCTATTATTTTGAGTACGGTATCATGTAAAAGTATTTATTGAGAAAGTTTTTTTTTTACCTCAGTTTGTATCAATTGCTTGCTTGCATATTATTTAACCACATGGCAATTATTAATTAGTTTATTACAATTTAATTAGGGAGGAAACCACTTAGAATAGGGGTGGAAACCACTAGGATTAAAAAGAGGTGGAAACCACTGGGAGGAAACCACTAGGGAGGAACTTGTAAAGGGGGGAAACCACTACATGCCGATCAAATATTGATGGAATTTGCGGAAGTGATCACTACCAGATGATCAGAATTACTGCAGTTCACTGAGCTACTATAAGTTAAAAAGACTGTGAAATTTGAAGTTCAAAATTCAAATTTGCATCATTTTTTATAAAACTTTGTATTGCATGTCTATGTCTAATGTGGCTAGTCTAAATACATGGGAATCAAGACAACTCGGACCATAACAAACAATTTTGGTTCAATTCACAATGCATGGAAATTGGAAATCAACTGTTAGGACAATCTAAGCAACATAGTATATTTGGGGTTGGCATTCTCTGTCCGCATGGCTTTCAGTCCAGGGTCTCCTGCTACAAAATCTTCAGAGTTGTCAGCCAGGAGCTATTTTTGTTCGTCATTTAAGCTTATGGTGACTAATTATGTTCCTATTGTCTAATTCCTATTGATTAATAATCATTTATTTATCATATCAATAGAAGTTAAGTCAGTAGTAGACACAATTTCTGTATATTGTTATATATTCAACTCAGTTAATTAAGAACCTTATGTATAATATCTGATATTTATTGTTTCAAATATTGCCTCTTGCTATACATTGTTTAATTACAAATAGGAGAAACTCATTTCTAAGATAAAATACAGAAAGTGTGCCCAATAATATTTTGTTTTAAGTTCTCCAGCTATCACTTGCATAGCTTGTGACTGAAAAATCCAATGGATGCAGGTATTTTCAACTGGCTTGATGTTCTTGAGCCATCTCAACCTCAATTTTATGCATTGAAAATAAACTTGTAACCCTACTAAATGTATACATGCATAAGGATGTAGGTCATTTTATTATATTTGATTATATAAAGATAAACAGCTAATATAAATAATAAATTGCCATGGTATTGAATGATTGAACTATTTGTCATAACTCAGTATATGAGTCAGTAATATCATTATCATTCATTATTATAATGAGCTCATTAAATCTTTACGCTTTATTTTCATAAACAACGATTAAACAAATAGCCTAGTTGATTTTGTTATGGTTTGACTTCTTTTATACTATTAAGTACTTATGCAAAATTTTCACTAAGCTTAAACTAAGCTATCATAAACTAGGCGTGTCTAAAATATTTTGAAGTACATGTATTTTCAATTTTATATTTTCAGCATTGATAAAGTTCCTAAAATTACATCACCAGTTTTAGTTATACATGGTACTGAAGATGAAGTTATAGACTTTCAACATGGATTAGCTATTTATGAAAAATGTCCTCGGAAAGTTGAACCATTGTGGGTGGAAGGAGCCGGCCATAATGATGTAGAGTTATATGGACAATATCTTGAAAGACTTAAACAATTTATTAATGAGGAATTGGCCACGATTTGACTAGAAGCTGAAGTTGAGACACCTATCACCACTCCATCAATACCCCTCACAGATATGACTACCGCAAGTACACCAAACGGTGAACGTGTTGTTTAACAATCATCTCTCATTCGTTAAAACTTTTCATTTTTCTTTTGTTATTTAATTTTTCTAGTGCTCATATTAAAACAAGGGTTTTAATTATTTTATGACATTATGGGATATAGAGTTAAACTATTAAAATAATCAAGGTACTAATTATATTCTTATATTAAGGTAAAATTATTAATACTTATTAAAACCTTATTCACTATTGTGAAAATATGCCAAAACATAGCACTTAAATACCCAATGGTTTACATTTTGAGGGTAAGTGGTAGGATATGACATTGGCACTCTGAATGTTGGTATGGTTATCTTGGCACAGAATATTTAGACAGAGATATACTGTAGAACCTTAATGATTTTATGGTATTGATGGATATTACATAATTTATTAAAATATTATTTTTAACCTTCTCTCAATGTGTGCTCTCTATTTTGCAAATGTTTCCCTTAATCATTCTAAATGTTCAATAAGGCAGTAAGATCAATGTAATTATTGACATTGACCTGTTTTAATGGGATCATTTATTCAAAAAAAATCATGGTGTCTCAACTTCAATTATTAGAACAATGATATATATATTTGTATAATATGATCTATTTTGTTACGATATTGTACATTATATTGTGAGATATTATATTGTGAGATATTTTTATTTCTTTCCAACTTATTTCTTAAGTTATATAATGGCCATTTTGTTTTATATATCACACTTTCATATAAATAGCATGTGTTTTGTTGTAAGTTGTTCAGTGATGATTACTTTTATTATTTTACTCTTCAAATACTTTTCAAAACAACATAAAAGGAACACTCGAATTTAAATGTAACTTTCAATATTAATCAGGAATATAAGGACTAACTGCATTTTTCGCATTTTTCTTTGGGCTTTGTGAAAACATGTATTCAGATCTGAATAGAAATCAATTATTATACAAAATTCTTATAGACAGTTAATCAGTTACCATATGAAACTATGTATGGTTCTACATGGACATAAAACACAGGACATACATAGTTCACAGCCATTTTGAATCTCTTCCTTGACTTAATAAGTCCAATTTTACCAATATCTTCAACATTTAGGAAAACCTTTTTTTTAATGTAGTTTGATAGTAAGCTCATCATATATTTGTGTAAGAACCACCTCATCTGGTTAAAATTCATTAATTCTTCACAACATTTTGATGTCATTTTTTTTTATATTGCTCAGTTGTATTTCAATTACATTGTATGAATTTTTATCTTTCCTTAATGAATAATATAAGAGCAGACTTTTGAAGACTAATGGTGCGGGCACTAGTATAGTCTTTGTTGATTTTTGTCACCGATTTGAATTAGTAAAATATCACGTTTGCCAACGCTTCCGCAATAAGATTATCACATGGTTGGCAGGATTTTATAATATCAAACCTGCTTGATATTTGCCGCAGATTGTTTTATCGTCTGAAAGACAGAGCATCATCATCCTATTAGATTCATTTCCTTTCAATTATCGACATAGTGGATAACGATCGATTGGAGATTTTTAGTCTTCTTTTGTGCCTGCAGGCGGTTAGTGAAATTCTTGACATGACTCGAGTGGGTGACAAAAACTGAAACCAAGGCTGTTCGTGTGCCCGCACCCTAAGCCTAATATAAACCTACAGCCTGATATTTCATAGTAGTTTCTAATAGTATAATCTATTTACTTATTTATGTACTTATCTTTTTGTATATAGACTACAAAATAATGTGATTATGTATTGTAATGTACCTTTTTCTGTTTAGTACCAGATTCATTTTCTATGAGATGTCACAAAACCTATGATATCTAAGAAATTCCACCAGAAAAAAACTGTATCTGTAATATAGTCAAAAAAACAAGATAAGCCATTACTGAAACCTTTTGATATTTGGAGATGAATCATATAAAAATCTGTAATCTGTTTTCTTAACTTAGTTAAAATCCTATCTGTCATTTTTGAATCATATTTGACATGCCTTCCAAGAGTTGAAAAAAACACAAAAATATCATGAAACTTTTTTATGGGCTCTGCAATCATTAAATGTTCTGACTTGCATTATCTTCATAGATATTCAAAACAGTTTTCTAGCATTTGTATGCGTAACTGAGATGCTTATAGATTTTGTTGTACAATTCTGATTTCCAGTATCAAATCTGCCTATCATGTGGTTCCTGTAATTCCAGAAAATCATAATCAGATCATGACTTCATTATTGCAAAAAGCCTTCCATTCAAGCTCTTAATCGGGTAGATTTTTTCGGAATTACAGTAACCAAGGATGCAGGACAGAAATTCTGAATAATGCACATAGATGTTGCAAATATCTCCTACATAAGAAACTCTATTTATTGTTCCTGTAATAGCCATTCCTTATAATGGAGTGTTAAATTAAATAATGTACATGTGTAATAAATAAAATAAATGCTTTAGTAACAAATATTTCTACATGTCCTCACATTATTTTCTCTTGTATCTTCATTGTGTAAATAAACAGGTTGCATAGAAAACATTTGAATAGATTTGTGGTTATTTGGAATAGGGCCACAATGTTAAGTATTTGTAAGATACACTATGCTTATTGTACAAATATTCATATTTCATCAAACTCGAGAAAATATAGTAGTTTTTGTACTAGACTAGACTAATAAGTCCAAGGTTCAATCCAGGTGTAGGTTGGTTATGCAGGTGGCTTACCTGCGGCATTTTTCAACAGGGGTTTCCTCTAGTCTTTCGGATGGGACAATTAACCAAGGCCCTGTGTGCTACAGGGTGTGCACTTTAATAATCCTTGGACAGGTAGAAAACGTAAAGACTTAAGAGTAGGCTAATGCTGTTATCCATACAATATGTCCTCCATACAAAATGTCTTCATTGCACAGGGAATCAGGACAACTCGGACCAATGCACACTAGAAAAATTCCTAACAAACTCGGATAACTTTTCATAATAAACTTGGACCAATTTTTTTTTTGGGACTTGGAACAATGTCTGCGCAAACTTGTCCATTGCATGGCTTTGACCGTCTTCATAAGCCCAATCACTATCAGGTACACAGTTAAGTCGGACGTAAAACTCTTGACCCTTGCCAACAATATTGTATTAATATCATGTAAGTTGCTCGGACTACCCTTGATTAACTTAGAGGATAACTGTCAACATATAGGCGGACTAGTGATTTGAACTTCAAACTTGCATTAAAAATTTAAATTAAAAGATTCCAACACCACAGATCTACCATGGTATATCCAAATCCAGTTTTTACACGACACCTTTCATCATTGTGGGAGTACTTCCGGTAAAATGGCTTCGAAATTAAAACCGGCTCGGTTAGAATCTGAAATTGAGCGATGTAGAGTTGAAGCAAATTGGAAAAGGGCTCTGGAATTAGCCCAACAACTCGGCCAAAAGTCCCCAGATATGATAAGTTTGGTTAATTTTATATTAGCGGAAAGTAAATTGGAAGAATTTCTCTCCGAACACCAACCTTCTGAGCGAACTGTTGCCAAAGCAAAAAGTGAACTGAATGAAACGGAACAAAAATTGTACGATATTTCTAGAAATAAATCAGTTACAAAACTTTCATATGAATCTGAACTTCTTCTGGCAAAACTACATTATTGCAAAGGTGCTTACCAAACTGCATTGTCAACATTAGAAAAGTCCAATTTTGAAGACGAAAAATTCTCTGCAACTACATCCTTATCAAATAGACATCTGTTGCTCCTTGCAGAGTCTCATGCCATTAAAGGTATGTGTCTGGAAAAAACTGCCCTGAATTCAACAAGTAAATTTAAAGTGAATGAGAGAGAGCAACAAATTATTTCTTGTTTAGAAAAAGCTGGTGACATTGCATTGTTATATCTTCAAGAAAAAGAAAAGTACCAATCAAGCAGTGGTGTGATGGTGATTCCTGCCCATCCTAATGAAACTATTGGTTGTATCATAGATTATGCTATTCAACAAACTCCTATACTATACATCAAGAATGGGGAGCTGGAAAAAGGAATTGGTAGATTTAGAGACTTACTTAGGGCTGTAGAAGTTAGATCAACACAAAATTTAAGATTGACTCTTGCTCGTCAATTGGCTGAAGTGTTGCTACGAGGTGTTTGTGCAAACACATACATAACAATCAGTTTATCTCCCTCAAAAGATAATGCAGTCGGTCCAAAAATTTATGAAGGTGATAGTTTATTTGTTCCCTCGGATCAAAATGAAGAGATATTATTATTATTGTTAATTGCTGAAGCTGTGGCTACAAGAGAGGCTGTACTTGACAGGACACAAGAACTGAATGAAACGCGTCTGCATGCATTTAACAATGCAGCAGCTATTTATGATCTTCTGACAATCACATTGGTGAAAAGAGCACAGTTTACTTCGTTGGCGGAATCATTTGAGAGAGCAATGCGGTTTTCATTTGAAGAGTTCCATATTTGGCATCAAATGGCAAATTCATTAATCTGTGCAGGCCGACATGCTCAAGCGATTCTTGTTTTAAATGAATGTAACAGACTTCAACCAGATAATGCTGTTGTTTGTTTACAAGCAGCTAGACTTTGTTATGAATATCTTCATCAGTATAATGAGGGAATAGAATGGTCTGTGAAGGTGATAGACAAGTGTAATAACAGTCATCTGTTGTCCAGAGCTAATACTGCATTAGGAATTGGATATAGTATGAAAGCATCTGAAACAAAACTAAGATCAGAAAGAGAAAAGCTTCACATACAAGCATTATCAGCATTCAGAAAATCTCATAGTTTAGATCCATATGATTATTTAGCTTTGTTTCACTTGGCTCTTCAACTAGCAATTCTTCGTCAAATACCTGAAGCTTTCAACTTTGTAAAACTTGCTCTGAAATATCGAAATGATCACATACATTCCTTGCATCTTTTAGCACTGCTTCTAACATCACAAAAGCAGTATGATGAAGCTTTAGTATTAATTCATGCTGCTTTAGAAGAATATCCAGATAATCTTAGTTTATTGCTTACAAAGTCAAAACTAGAAGAAATTGTTATAGGTCCAGAAGAGGCATTAACCACTTGTAAATTGATGTTAAAATTATGGAAAGATATACATGAAATTGACAGTGACGATGGTTCTGACACAAAAGCACCAGCTATGGATAGAAATACTTTTGACAAAAGAAGTCTTGCTCAGTTGACTATTAATGAATTTAGTGAAAGAGGATCAGGATCTATTCGTGCTGAATCAATTGCAGCATCCAGAATGGAGAGGGCTTTATCTGAGGTTGCTTCTTCTCTTAATAGCACATTTCATCCCAGATCAGGTTCTCAACAATCTTGGATGCTGCAAGCTCAAATATGGCTTCATCTTGCTGAATTATTCATAAGTTTAGATAAAACATCTGAAGCTGACAATTGTGTCAATGAAACAACTGGGTTATTTCCTCTATCTCATCAGGTCTATTTTATGAAAGGTCGTGTTCTTGAACATAAGCAAAGATATTTAGAGGCTAAAATATGTTTTGAAAATTCAGTGGCAATAAATCCTGGCCATACAAAAAGTCTGCATCATCTTGGAATGGTTCTTCATAACCTAAATGAAAATAAATTGGCTGAAAAAGCTTTGCGTGAGGCAGTGAATGCTGATCCTACATCTCATCAATCTTGGTTATCGTTAGGAATTGTTTTAGAAGAATTAGGTCATCATGATGCAGCTGCTGATTGTCATGCTAAAGGGATAGAATTAGAGTTGACTAGTCCCATTGTTTCATTCACTGTCATTCCACGACTTATGCAATAATTTTGTATTTTAGCTTCTGCATCTTTTTAAAACCCTGAATTATGCCTATTTATTATGATAATTACTTTTAGTTTTAGAAAGACCTGTACTTGAAACATGATCATTTTGAAGGCCTTTGAACACTCATTTCCATTGCATAGTAAAATTTGCATGTACAGCTTGTTGTCTAGAGAAACTTTTTATTTATTATGTATTGTTTGCAGTAGTTTAACTATGAATGATAAGGGATATACACAGATAGGTTATTGATTGAATCATGTTTATTACATTACATTATATAGGCGAGTGTGTTCGAATATAAAACACAATTGATATTATATTATTGATTGGATGGTAAGACCTTACCTGCTTTCATTTTGTCATTCTTGAAGACTAAGATATCAAATAGATATTGATATAGACTGTTTTCATCTTTTGGTTTTCTGAATGCAAAACTAACTTATTATATTTGTGTTAACAGGATAAATAAGGACATACATTCATATATGTAATTGATTGCACTTAATGGGATATTACCATGTTCATCATGTTAGGCATATCTTAAAGAGACAGTTTTTGCAGTCTTGAATATATGTAAATAGTCTTCAGAAGTAATAGAAATGTATAAAAATCACATAATTCCTTTCAAAATACTTCTAACTATTTCACTTTATATTTCTATATTGGACACACATCAAATATGGACAGTGAGCTGTGAACACTACTACTGATTAGCTTATGCCTAGTTCACACCAACGGCCAATGCCATGCTTTAAATCGGCGAGCAAAGCGCCATCATTTTTTGTTTACTTTTCCAAAATTATCACTGTCTCCTAAGTAATGTTACGCTCTGATAAGCTCTGATACGAATTGGTTATGCTTTGAGGACGAATTATTTCCCGATTTGATCAGGCCTTGTTACGCTTTAAATCACGCTTTGATTAGCTTTATTAAGCTTTGATGCGGTTACGACGCTTTAAATCATGCTCTGATACGATTATTAAGCTCTGTTGTGCATTGTTCAGCTCTGTTACGCATTGGAAAATTTCGAGATCGCCGATTTCATGCCACTTTTGATCAAGTGGTGACAAACCGTGAAAACTGGAGTCCCCGCTTTGAATAAAGATCTGTTAAGCTTTCCTACGCTTTGAGTCAAGCTTTGCTGAACTTTGTTACGCTTTAAGCTTTGATACGTTCTCGGCGCTTTAATCAATTTGTGACAGAGCGCCCAAAATTCTTAAACAGTTGGCGCTCTTGTCGAATATCCAGCTTTGCTCAAAGCTTTCCAAAGATCTTTTACGACCCTGGCGCTTTAGTCGAGCTTTGTTACGCTTTGGTACCGCTTTGTACGCCGCTTTAAAGAGCCATCAAAGCGCCGTTGGTGTGAACTGAGCATTAGCAAATAGATTCCCGTTTCTGAGACTAAAGTATGAATGGTCAAAGGGATGGTGAACCTGTCCCTAAAAGAGATATAGTTAGCCAAAGTATAACATCTGAAATAGCTAAAATAAAGGTGTTGGCAATTTTAACTGTGTTTACTTCCAGGCCAATGTGCAGCTATATTGATATAATGATGCCATTGTAATAACTGCATGAGACAATTTATTAACCCCTTAGAAGTTGATGATGGTACTCTTAAACACCAACTTCACGTTAATAATATATATTTGTAGGAGAAATAGATATCAGATTTTCACTTTAAAAAATATGTTTACTTGTAAGCTTTATTAACTTGAAAACAGATAATGAAACAATTATATCTCTGTAAATTTGATATTGATCAGGTTCTAATGTTTCAGTTCTCAATCCAAAGTAAGTTAAGATCTGCATAGATAACAATTATTGTGATATTGTAATTTATTTGTTACTTATTTATATGAAGATTTATGATTAAATATTATAAGATATATTAAATTGCTTTTCAAACCATGTAAAGATTTATATGCCACACCCATTTTGTTCAATTGACATGCTATGATGAGAAACAAAATAAAAAATAAAAATGTTTTTGATAGTCTACAACCAATTCTATACAATATTATTGATTTGTTTCATTAGCTTATAAATTGACAAGAAATAGTATAATAGTTACTGATGATCATACAGACATTTAAAATGTACGATTGTTAAAACCTGTAAAATTGCCAGAAATTTTCAGCTGGATTTAGAAAGGGGCATTACATTTGTTAGGGGGTTGATTTAAGTCTAGAAAATCTGTAAAGAGTCTTCAAATAGTCAAAATAGTACTAAAAATGTATTAAAACCTCATATCATAATTCCTTAAAAATATCTCAAACTGGGAATTTTTTACTCACTATGTCTTTTCTATATAACACAGAGTATCTTAAAGGGATTGTAAAGAGGGTTTCTAAACTTTTTATGTGTATTGGGGACATTGATAGCATCAATTTGCACCATTTCAAATTTCATTCCGAAGTCTGTGGTTCTTACAATTCCACTAAAACTAACGCGTTTTATGACGTCACAGAAGTTGGAATGAAAATTGGAATGATGCAAATTGATGTTATCAGTGTTCCTGGTACACATAAAAAGTTCAGAAAACTGCTTTGCAATCCCTTTAAAATTACAAGTCGTCATTTTTATACGCTCACATGGAAATGTGGACATAGATTGCCGTCGCCCCTGTCCGTCGGTCCATCCGTTCACTTTTCTTGTATGGGCGATAGAGGCTACAGTTTTTATCTGATCTTGATGAAACTTGGTATGCATGTATTTATAGATGAGGTCTCGGATGAAGGGTTTCAGAATTATATCCTTTGACTTAGTATATTGCCTTGTAGGCATAATAGAGACTTCAGTTGTGATTATACTTGGTATGCATGTATATATATTGATGAGATCTCGGTTAAGTTAGAAATTGGTAATAATTGGATGAACAGTTTCAGAGTTATTGCCCTTGTGTGTACAGTGATGAGGCATTGTTTGAATTTGATGATAATTTGATGAACTGTTTCTGGTTTTTGCCTTGATTTTAAGATTACTTGAAAATTCATTATTAAGCCACTAAGGATTTTGTTATCATTTCTGACAGCTGGTAGTGGGCGTATGTTACCTTGCCTGGCAAGCTATCTTAATATGCAACTTATATAACTGGTACTATTTAAAAGGCATTTAGTAATTAGAAATAATATAACAAAACACATTACTGTATTTATTTATTTATCATATCTTCTATTATAACTTTGTTCTTTATTTCTAGAATAACTATTTTCAGTTCTTCCTCGAAATTCCTTTTCTTTTCTTTCCAAAGAATAAGGTTTACGGAATGGACGGTCCTTGCAGCCAAATCTGAGTTGTCCCGATTCCTTTTTTCCTCCAAAACCACCACCTAAACGTCTTGGCACCCAGCCCTCTAAAACTCTTTCACACTCTCTATCTACTAGCACTTCATGTCCGTCTAAGATAAGATTATATGATGTACTATTAAAAGCAGTCAAGGCAGTATCTTCATTGTCAAATTCTAAAAAAGCATAACACTTTGAAAATCCTGTGACTATATCCCTTATTAATCGACAATGTTTTATAGGTCCATATTTTTTAAATGCTTTCATTATAGTATCTTCATCTGTTTTTTTACTTAGTCTTGCTATGAATAAGGTAGATTCTGGATTTCCAATGACTTTTTTGTTTGATTTATACTTTGCATCAAGCGCTCTAACTATGCCATTATCATGAATATCAGCTGTGTCTGTTCCATCAATACTACCAACTTGAAGAGGGTTATATTTCTTCTTCACAAATGGACTCCAAGAATTGTCCATTTCCCCTGCAAAATATTAAATAAATATACATAGGCCTATCTAGGGGTAGAATACAGGTTTAAATGCACACATCTGGCCACATTAAGTTCTAAATCACACTTTGTCTATCATTTTTGTATGAATTGAAGTATTAATCTCCAAATATTGCTGAGAGTCTTAGATTGTATTTGGTTTGATGAAAATGCCAACTATTGAAAACAAAATTATTTGAAACTATAATTTTAAAGAGGGAGATTTTCAGTTCAAAATATGTGTCATTTTCACATGAAATTTCTTGGAGAGAAGTGTTAAATTTGCAAGACTTGTATATTCATGGACCCAAAAAAGGCATTCTAAGACAATTGGTATGCACTTGAGAAGCAACTCAATGTGGCCAGAGAGTAGTATTAATTTGTGTAAAGCCACCAAATTTGTTTGCTGTATCTTTGTATGATTAAATAACAAAGCCTGTATGGCTACAAATAAGCCGAACTAACTTAGGATTCCATCTAATTTTTTTTACAAACAAACAGTAGGCCCCTGTGGTATTCGCCATTCGGACAATGTTCGTGAGTAGAATCATAGAACTATTATCTATTACAGTTCTATGGTAGAATGTAAATTTAGAAGTAAAACCCTATCCTAAAGTGAAGCAAAAGAATGGAATGTTAGATAAATAAACTTTAAAATCAACCTTGTCTAGAAGAGCACATTTACGACATCCATTGATTCTGAGGGGGAGCGACTTACTTTCGGTAGCAAGGTGAAGGCCGATACGGCTCGTGTCAGGAAACTGAAACTCACTAGGCCTGCTATCTGTATTCTTTCATTTACTCTTCAGATAAGTCTGACAGTGTCTCTGCCTTAAAGCAAAAGCAAAGGATTTTGTCTACGTTCACGTCCACGTATGTGTTTTGAACATAAACTAGACATCAACGATCAAGGTTCTACAATCTACTGTCTTACTCTAAATCAGATAGTCGGAGATACTATACAAAAACTTTTTGAAAAAGCAAAAGGCAGATGATATTGATGGTCTACTGCCTTGAAGATAAATGTACCATTATTGTGCCAAACAAGAAACTTTTCAAGATTTAAAACCTCTTTTGTCTTTATTGTTGTAGCGCTGCTCTCAAAACCAATCAATGAATATTATGGATATTCTTTGACCTTCACTTGAGTCATCAGCACTTGGACATTTGGTTATACTTAGTCTTAAGTTATAGTAGGTGGAAACTGGAAATTCTCTCAACTTTCTCTTCAGTGAATTCATGGAATTCCTTATAACATACGAATTAAATCATTGCTCTTGTCACACATTTCACATATTACTTCATATTATATGTTATCCTGGAGAAAATGGTGCTGCTTTGCTGCTTTCATTCTGATTTCCAAATGCCTTGCAGTTGAATTGGGCAAATATCATATCAAGATTATGAAAGATAATAAACCTTTTTTTTTTTTTTTATTATAGTTTAAAATGACAGAAGTTTTGAAAAAAGATAATGTGGTTCAACTGTCTGCTGAGGAATGTGATAAAATCAGTTTAGATTCAGATCAAGTGAAAACTGGAGAACAAATTGTAATGGACAAAGTAAATGGACATACACATAAAGACATGACACAAGGACTTGATGACCAGAAAGATGTTGAAAATAAGGGTGATGTTAAAAACAATTCTGACATTAAGAATATTGATGATGTTCAGAATAATGTTAATATTCGGGGTAGCACTAAACAGTCAGATAAATCCACAGAAGGTACAGTCGAGGAAAAGTCTGATGAAAATTTTATTGATATTCTAGGAAATGGATTGCTAACTAAAAAGGTAATGAGAAGTATGAAAAGGTATTTGATTTGATTCTCTACACCTGTTGGTATCATATTTAGTTTTCCCTATTGGACAAAATTAGACATCTTTAAGCACCATTCTGACATTGTGATAAGGCCAGATAGGAAAAACAGTGTTGAGGCTGAATAAAGCATGCCAGTCATCTATCTGTCACCCCTATTCTTTCAAATGAATTCTTCCACACATGCATACTAAATGACTGCTGTAAATGTATGATTACAAGATCTCATATTTAGAATATAGGGTGATATTGTCAAATTATGTCCAGACTTAATTTAAGCAGCGCATAGGTTGTTAATTGAAAAACTAATGATTGATTTTACATCAATTTTTAATTGACTCAAGTGCTATATGTATTTCAGGTGTTAGTCCAAGGAAATGGAAGAGAAAGCAGACCTGATAGAGGTGATATCGTGACACTTGATATTGAAGGACATCTATCTGATGGTACTGCAGTAGATAAATACACTGCTTTTACATTCCCTCTTGGAGAAGGGGATGTCATACAAGGTGATGGTTGTTTTGTTTCTAATTACAAGTACCACGTTTGAAAAAGAAATAAACTGTAGAGCCTTTGTAAATGCTAGATAGACATTTGTTTCGACAACCAAAAAAAACCATCAAAGTGGGACTAGGGCAGAATGTTTAGCAAAATGTCAGTATTTACAGAGCGATACAAATAGTTTTTTTTTTTCACTAGCCTTGGACTTGGGTGTTTCTTTAATGGAAATTGGTGAAACCTGTGAATTGTTTGCAGCTTCAAAATTTGCCTATGGTGAAAGGGGCAGGTAAGTGTAATGACTGAGCTGAATGCTCATTACATGCCATATATATGAAATTGTATATTAGCTTGACCTGATTCAAATCCTTATTTTATGGTAAATGGTAGGTCAAATGATGCTGGGAACTGGCTTGTTTTATAGTTACAGCTGATAAAAAGACATTTCCAAATAAAATTTGTCTTAACAGGAAAAATAATGAGAAAAACACATGCTACAATGTTGAAATATCACCTTTAGAAAGGTATTGAACATTATAGCTCATATAATATTTTTATACCTTTTATTTTTAGAGAGCCTGATATTCCTCTAAATTCTGATATAACATATACTCTAGAATTATTAAAATATGAAAAGAAACCAGAATTAGATAAAATATCTCAAGAAGTCAAGCTCGAAATGGGGTAAGTCTATCAAATTTCCACTAAATGATTTTTAATCAGGTCATCTCTTGCACTTTTATTTAGTCAACAGAACATATGCATAGTTATATTTTGCTCTTAGTAAATGGTAGATCATAGTACACGTTCCTGAAAGGTGATAAATTTTCTGCTGATAAAACTCAATTTGAGCTAAACAAAGAACTTTTCGGTATATATCTTCTACAATCTTGAGCTTTCAAAATAGTTTCAAGATAAAAATGAATTGTATCTATATCTTTGTATACAGAGAAAAGAAGAGAGAAAGAGGAAATTTTCTATTTTCAAGACAAGATTTTACTGGTGCAATAAATTCATATACACAGTAAGTAAATTATTGTGCATAATTATGACTCATTGAAAAAATGATCAAACTGTCAATATTATAGTGAAGCACATTTCCATGTCATAAAAATAAGCAGAAAATTTTTGTGCGATTTTTTCCATTTGTAACGCAGAATTTATGAAAACTTAAAGTTTATCTTTTTGAAATGTACCTTTAATATTTATAGAGTTAAGCTTATAGATGAAAAATGATTTTGCTATTTGTTTTTAGAGCAATAAAAATATTAGATTACCCCTCAGCAACACTTAATGAGATCTCAATTAATCAGCAAGAAATAACTGATTGTAAATTAAAATGTTGTAATAATTTAGCTGCTTGTCAATTAAAGGTATGTCAAAGTTGTTGTATTGTTTGACCTGCTGAATATGTCCAACATGCCGACCTAATTCCTATTCATCTAATTACCTCTAATCTTTGGGCCATTTCAGACTAATTAGTTTTCTATAACCCAATACCAAGGGTGACTTCAATTGAACCTCTGTGGTCAAGCTAGAGTTAATGGAGAAAAGATATATTTTCTTCAATACACAGGTCAAGTCAAGGCAGTATGGCAGCACTTTAAAACAAATCTGCACCATGCACTTACAGGATTGGGACAACCATGTTTTTCTCTCTCCAAATAGTGTTGGTCAGACCCAAACTTCTGTGTCATACTAGTTAGTCTCAACTCTAAGAGTCAAACCCAAGCTTCAATCGAAGTCATCCAATATGACTTCCTATGAACTGTTTTTATTGGTCAATTTCCCCAAAATGGGGTTGTCTGCAGGTAATGGTGTGGATTGTTTAACAATTTGAATTGAAGAGTTATTGTTGTTTTTTTGTAGGTTGGTGCCTATGAGGCAGCTATCAGATCAACAGAAATAGTATTATTATCACAACCAAGTAATGTTAAAGCCTTGTTCAGAATAGGAAAAGTAAGATTCTATTCATACATATCCTTTTATTATCAGCAATAATGTTTACAGTCTTTCTGTCTAGTGCTCGGGTTGGCTGTATTTTCTAACGTACAATCAAAATCAAATCAATGCATTCCGTAATACAAGAAAAGTGGCAATTGCGGTCAAGGTATAAGATGGAGTTTATAATAGCTTGACATTGTGAAGATGGTCTAATAGCTGATTTACATGATAGGGAACGATTACAACAAAACTTATTGCATAAATGTGCATGTGTTACATAGTGAATTTGATATAATGTGACATAGCAATTGATTTGATGGGTTGCCAATAATTTCTTTTTGATGGATCAAATAGAATTTTCAATTTGTCAATATCTTTATGTGTAGACTATAAAGGCATTTGCAAGACAAAATTTAAATTCTGTTTTACACAATATGTTTTATTTGATATAGGCACATTCAGCTAAAGGTAATACAAATGAAGGAATTCAGTATTTTAAGAAAGCTTTACAGTTAGAACCTGAATCAAAGGTAAGAAGACTTGACCATTGAAGATAAATTATAAAAGTGAATAGATAGACAGCTTCAAAATTACTGCGAGTTAATTTGGTCTTCCATTGAACTCAAATTCTATATACATTGCTAGGCCATGCAGTTTTTCATAGACATTGGTATTGTTTCATAATGTAAAATGTATTTGCTTATAACTTGTCCAGAAAAAGTCTTGATTTTTCAAAAGATGTTCCAGTGGCTGCCACTGAATGAATATATAAACTTATTTTTACAACTTTTAGAGTTTTGTTGTATGAATTTAATATTGATAGAACTGATATTAAAAAAAAGGAGAGAACTGCATTTTACTTTTAAATAAGTCTGTTTTAATATTTTCAGATTATTCATCAAGAATTATCCCGGTTATCTAAAAAATTAAAATCTGAAACAGAATCTGAGAAAGAAATGTATAGACGGATGTTAGGAACTAAAAATACTAAGACTACAAATAAAAAATCAGGATCTTCGGTGATTATATTATTATTTTATTTTACTTTGTACAACAGCAGCGACAGCAAGTTACACATTTACTATCCTGTCTTTCTGGTCTAATTCTGAGTGAGATGACATTCATTGGGCACATATCTCAAGTTACATAATAATGTTGTCAATTGGTTTCCTCAAGAATTCAGTGTGACAGTATTGTTGTCAACACATGATGCCAATGAATGGCTCAATATCCAGCTATGAAGACCAAAGAGGGCCAAAAAGGAACAAACTGATTGCTGGATTGTTAATATCCTCGACAGTTGGAAATAAAAGTGCAGAAGTAATAAATCAAAAGTACTTATCATTTTGTTGTGTTTTTTTTTTTTCAGTGGATAAAATGGACCTTATTAGCTGGTGGTTTAGCAGTTGCAGGATTATCTATCGCTGTAGCAACTTTACGTGGAAATCATTGATAATAACTTGTACTTTCCATCTTAATCTTCATATATTATATTAGAAAGAATCAATAATTTATTGGTCACTTGACAGAGATTTTCAGTCCAGTTTTAAATTGACCTGTGAAACATCTAAATATAGTTTTGAGTGGGTTAATTTATGTTCAAATCTGTGATTTGTGTTCTTTTGTGAATTGACATCAAAAATGAAATTTTTTATGAGTAGTTGAATGGAAGCATCTGACTTAAACGTTATTTGTGTGTGTTAAAAAAATTAGGGCATCTAAATATTTAATTTAATTTAATAACATTTAAATCACATGGCCCTGAATTTTTTTTTTAAATGTACCATGGAGGTTACAAGTTTCAGACTGTTTTCAAAATATTGTCCCAGTGAGTCATGATCCTTGATTGCTAAACCAAATAGTTAGACGAGCATATCCCTTTCATATTTCAAGGAAATTCATCTGGTATTGGATATTTTTGTATTATGATTGTTCTTCTAGCTAGTGTGTATGTGTTAATGATAATCTATGTGTATCAATGGGACCAATTATCTTGTTTAGGATCTTTTTTGCATTAGTATATTAAAGGTGCACTCCAGGCAGCAAAAGGTGTCAGTTACATTTTTTCTTTGAAAATCGCCTGTTTTTTTCTTTATCTTTGAAACAGAACTGTACCATATCTTGGTAATTTATACCTAAGAAATGGTATTTTAAAGGACGTTATTCCTTTATTTGATTAATTTATACATTGTTTGATTATTAATATCTCTTTCATGTCATATTAGATATGACTGATATTTGGATATAGCTGTTCTGGGTGTCTACATTAAGTATAAAAACAATAGTAGATATTTATTCCCAAAAAAAGATCGCTTTGTCAAATCAAAAATATCTTGAGAAATTGCAAAGAAACATTTTGATAGTGTATATACATGAATTTGTAAAGATCCTTTTGATAGAAATAACAGACTTGATAATGTTAGATATTTTTATGTGCCTTTCAGGAATTAAAGTTATCATGTATATGTGTAATTGGTTTTTTTTTATCAAAAGAAACGATTTTTATATTGAGTTTGTCAAATAAAGAATAATATGTATGTTTTAGATTCCTTATTAATCTGAAGAACTTGATCACCTTACATGGTTCAATCATATTATCAATTGGTATCAGATAATGACCTAAATTCAAACATAAAATTTAAAACTGGTCCAAATTTGATTTTATTTTACCGAAAAATATCTCTGAGATTGTTATAGAGGCATGTTCACCGTCCGTTCAATCAACCTTGTCTTAGTAACAGAAACAGGGATAGACTAATCAGTAATAATGTTCACAGTTTACTGTCGAATTTTTAATGTTGGAGAGTATTTTTTAGCTTTTGACATCACATTAGTATAGTTGTTATAAATTCCTAGTTTCAAGTTTCGGAATGAAATGATTTGGAGTTTTACGTCCTACTTTTCTGCACCATGTGGGCTAATGAAGATGGGTTCAAGCATTAAAGGCTTTCAGTGTAGTTACTTCCAAAGACTATTTACATACAATCATTTAGGATGTGTACTTCATCAAGTTTTGGTAGCCTGCATCCTTATATTTTAAAAGATAATATCTAATTATAGGCCTAATGAAATGTGGCATGCCTGTGCTTTCGTAACATTACTTAACTGCAATGTTACCTAATGTGACCTAAATTCCTAATGACAGCTGTATTTGCAATCATGATAATGCATTGTAATTTGTACCTAAGAAGTAATTATAGAAGAGGCCTGTAAGACACAAAGTAAAATTCACTGCATATTTTTCAATAGCCAGTCAATAAAATTAGTCTCATTCCTGTTTTTGCATACATATTCATGTATGCAGGTGTTGGTAGAGTAATGATATACACTTCTATTTCTGACAACAGAAAGCCATTGCCAGGCGTGATAGATTTGTTTACAATATTCAAACTTTGACATTTTAGTTCAAAGGTTAAATAGCTGTAATCATGTGACCTCGTTATGACCTCATATATGCATACGCGTCAAAATAAAGTTCCAATATAGAAAATAAATAACATTTTCATCTAGTCTAGATTTTTTAAAAATTCTCTATTTTGAATATTATTAAAGCATTTTTTTATTGAAATCAAAACGTTTTCCTTTCTACATAGGAAAACCAAAATTTATTCTTGTAAAGGCGTTTGAATATTTTTCGGGGTTAAGCAGTGACAGGGCCGCAAAAATTTCTTTGAGGAGAGTCAAATAATGAACTGAGGTCTTAGATGCTTTTCTGGTCATATACGATCCCTTCCGACCGAAAATCTTAATAAGCTGGCGTATATTGAAAAAGAAATTAGGACTGGCTAAGAAGGCACGCCTAGCAGCTTTGTTATTAAAAAATATCGACACTTTCTTCAATTTTCAAACGGATGGAGTGTCCACATTTGGAGAACAGCGTAAGAATATTTTCAGTACCAGTAAAATGTGAAAATAATCCGCCCGAATTTAGTTGCTCAGGTAATGATCATGATATATTTCAGATATTTCTTCGATGGAGTCTATAAACAGTGGCATTTGTGTATTATGCATTATTTTTTTTTTAAGTAATTGTGGATGACAATATCATTAGTAGATTTAAGTCAAGCATTAAAGCAAGGCAATGTTGAACCCTAAGCCTAACTCTAAGAATAGACTGAGGCAGAACTTGCTTTGTTTCTTGGTTTTAATGTTTACTATTTCATCCTATAGAGGTACCATCTATCCAGTACTAATGTATGTAAATATCTTGCCTTGCACACTTGCAGCATAATTCAGTGATTACTTGCTTGGTTTTGCTACAACAGTTTTAGTATGGTTAGGGGTTTGACATTGGAAAACTACTCTAGTTGTTCGGATGGGACCTTGGGCTTGGCTTAACGTTAAAGATCCTTTAACAAAACTTCTCTCTTCATGTACTTCATTGTGCACTGCATGGTATTGCCCTTCTTCATTAGCTCATCAGGTGCAGAAAAGTACCTGCAATTTTTCTCTCTAAGTTTATTATTATAGATGATTGTCATTGTCAATGCCTATGAAAGAGATTATGGTAATGGGTGCACCACAAATGGACTATACTGCCATAGTCATTTCAGTCCAAAGATAAACATTATGCCCCATTGGCACCTGGCCATCAAGGCCAGTGTAAACAAATACAATGTCAGAGGTGGTCCAAGAATCGAAATATCTTGTTTTTTTTTTTTTTTTTAGTTTGTGTAACTGATAATAGTCCATGGATTTGTCTTTCATGTGGTGTTGTTTACTGTGGCAGGTAAGACATATTTTTAATGTCTAATTTTAAAGCCTTCCAAAAAGCATTCTTTGTTACCTAGTCTTAGAACCCAACAGACAATTTGATGGATTATTGTCAAGGAGCTTGTTGGGGAGAGCACATCCTTTGTTTTTGTAAGATATTAACTTATTTTATTGCACTGTGTTCAAAGTTCTTTTTGGTTTTAGTCATGCAAATTTTATTTTGCCTTTTAGATATGTTAATGGCCATGCTAAAGATCACCATGAAAAAACACAGCAACATTCTGTATGTATGGATTGCCATAACTTGATGGCTTATTGGTATGTTAATGATTTCCATATTATATGTTTACACACTTCTTCAGGCTTGTAAATAGGAAGAGAAAATTGCCTCAAAGTCATTAGTTTAAACAATGAAATACTTGTTTTCTAGCTTTAATATTTCATTTATGTGCCAGTATAATTGAAAATGAAACAAGATGTCTTCCATTTCAATTGCTGAATCGTACTCTACATTGATTTGATTTTTTTCCTATTTATACAAATTATGAATTATATATTTGTTCTAGTTATATATCCCGTCTTCATTAGCCCACATGGTGCAGAAAAATAGGACGTAAAACTCATTAATTTCATTTAATTTCTAGTTATATATGTGATGAGTTTGTGATAAATGATACAACTGCTGGTAATCTTGATAAATTACGTAAACACTTAGAATCACTTTCCCGATTAAAACCTACACTCCAAACACAAAGGTTAGTAGTGGGATTGCTTGTTTGTTTGGATTCATTGTCTTTCAGATGATATATTATGTTGAGTTTCTTGCGAGAAATCCAGATTATGATTTTGAATCAAGACATATATCTCCATAAAACTGGTATAATAAACTTATTGTAATTAAAAGAAGTGGTCAACCGTTTTATTTTAGAATGTAAAGAGGAATCATATGCATTTAAGTTGTTAAATCAAAAGTTTTGAATTGCCATTTGTTGTCTATTTCAGTGCTCAAAATCCAAAAACAACAAAACCTCGAAGAAGAAGTTCAGCGGAATCGGTGGAAAATAAATGTAAACGAATGAAAAAGGTAAAAGCAAGCATTTAACTGGCTAGTTAAACATGGATTTAATCATATGACCATGAAATGAATTTTTCTTGATTTAGATAAGCTAAAAGGCTATGTCATATTTTCTGCTCCTTGCTATGAAGAAAGACTAGATAATGCATAATTCAGCAAGGGAAATTTTACCTGGGCTACTATCACCTATCAAGTATATAGTTGTTGAAAAATTTGCCATATTTGGCCTTTAAAAAAAAAAAATTGTATTTGTCATTTAGGATGATAAAAATGGTGAAAACGGTCCAAGATCGTCTGGTTTACGTAATCTTGGCAACACTTGTTTTATGAATGCTGTTCTTCAATCTTTAAGGTAAACTCATGTTCTCAATTTTTTTCTCTTGCAAATTGATTATTTCTCTTCCTGTCAAAAGGAATTTCCATTCTAACATTGTGCATGTTGACAACAGTAAGTATATTTTAAGGATAGGGTGGTTGGAAAGTAACAAGTTACTTACTAACTGAAGGCACTGGCACAGGGATAAAGCTGTGTTCACTGATGCTAAAAAGAAAATTTGTAGTAACATAAACCTAAAATTCAATAATATTATGATATAATGTCTGAAAACTAATTTATAGTGATATAGTTATAAGCATTGCTGTCTTATTAATTCTTCTGTTTCAGTAATATCCAGCATTTCTGTGGTTATATAAAACAACTACCTTCACTAGAAGATAAGATTATAAAGTGTCGTAAAACTCAAATTAAGAAAACTCGTGAATCCGGTGATACTGTGTATGTAAGCTTTCATTTAAATATTTGCTTTTCTAGAATTTTTATCATAATTCCAGCTATCTGTACCACGTATCAGAATGAAATCTTTTATTTTTCAGTTTATTAGTAGAAGAGTTAAGAAAAACACTAGTTTCATTATGGCAGGGTAGTAAAACATCTATTTCTCCAGAATCTCTCTTTTCAGTTATATGGAAAGTTGTACCAAGATTTCGGTATGTTCTTTCTTCTGATAATTTTATAAACAAAGCTATTAAATAGTAAATCAATATCCTGAGTCTTGGAATAAAGAAATATGCTTGCTAAGATTTGAAATTCAAATTCTTGGTGTTATCAATTGTCTTAAAATTAATGGTGACCATGTAATTTGTAGACTTAAACATTGAATGATGTCCGTTTTGCTCATCCTGTTGTTTTTTAGAAAAGACCTATCAAAATTCTATTTATTTATATTTAGAGGGTATCAGCAACAAGATGCACATGAATTTATGAGATATCTACTAGATCGTTTGCATACTGAACTACTTCAATTACTACCATATCCTAATAGTAATAGTCCTTTTATTGGACCCAAGGGAAAAAGTACTATAGTCACTGCTATATTTGGTGGATTACTTCAAAATGAGGTTATTTGTCTCATCTGTGGAATGGAATCTAAGAAACATGATCCATTTTTAGGTAAGTTAAATTTCTGAAACTTGACTTTTCCCTGTATGTTCTGTTTATTTGACTGTAATTGGGATGTTTAAAGCTCCAAAGTAATATTATATTATCTGCAATGGTCATTTTCTTGGTGGATTGTGAATCTGATTCAGAATGATATATCTCTTTTATTTTAGATTTATCACTTGATATTCCTTCCCAGTTTTATAGTCGAACAAATAAACCTAAAGAAGGGGAAACAGTATGTAAATTAGCAGGTATGAGTATTATTCTAGGTCATGTTTATTAGTTATTTATGTGGTCTTTTTAATATACAATTGACTTATGAAATTAATATCTGCCAAAAGATTATTGTTTTAATTTGTTTCCAAAATATTTACAAATTGCATTACACAAATTGACTTATCATTATCCCATAGCTGAAATATGAAATAGAGTTTTATGTACCATTTTATATACCTGATTTAGCTAATAAGAAGGATTCCCCCTTGTGTGAAGAAGTAAAACTCCTTATTTCAGACTGTTTAGAAAGTTTTACGGATGTTGAAGAATTAGAAGAATCTGAACTATATATGTGTAGTAATTGTAAATTAAAACAACGCTCTACTAAAAAATTCTGGATAAGAAGACTACCAAATGTAAGTCAAATCTCTTGTTAATCTGTTACCATACATGCATGGAAATTTGAGCACCAAAACACAAAAAAAAATTATTCTGAAATCAAAATCCAATTTGTATGATTACAAATTATTTCAGGTGCTCTGTTTACATTTGAAAAGATTCCGATGGAGCTCTCATCATAGAGTGAAAGTGGAAACATTTGTTGATTTTGATTTGAAAGGATTAGATATGAGCCACTATGTGTTAGATATGTTGGTAGGTAGCATTTTATTGACAAATTAGTCTTTGTTGATCTGTATTACAAATTGACATGAATAACCCACCTTGTTGAATTGACTGATGGGAATTTTCATCTTTGTAATTTAACTTTGATGATGTCAATAATCAAGAAGGGTCTTATATGATAAAGCATATTTTGCAATAAGTAACATATTCAAACACTTTGTTTTAGTGTAATTGCAGGAAACTTGGATGTCTGATTGAAAATTGGAATAGTGCAAATTGATGCAGTGCCCCGGATATACACAAAATATTTGAAAACCCATTTTCCAATTTTTCTTAATAAGATTATATGAGAAATGGTTATAAAATTTCATTGTTTCAACTTTATTGGATCATCACAGTATTTGAATAATATTAAATATGAAATTAGAGGAAATATGAATGTTTCATTTTTTAAATATATAAATTTCAGCATGAAACCCGAGGAAGTTCAGCTGGTAGTAATTTATACGATCTGGCAGCAGTTATAGTACATCATGGATCAGGGTAAATATCTCCAGTTCACTAATAAGTTTCAAAATTTATGCTTTCATCAATCTATTTCTACCATTCTTTATACCATTTATTGCCATATTGAAAACCAGGTTTCATGATGAGGATTCTGCAGCATGAAAGAAATTTAACTAAAGTATATAAATATTCTTTTAATAACCCAAATGGTTTAGGAATTACATCTATCAAAAGAAATTTCAAATCTTATTTTAATACCACGATAATTATCCTATTTCAGGGCTGGCTCAGGTCATTATACCGCGTATGCAGTGCATGAAAGTAAGTATGATCAATATTTTTCATTTCTTAAAAAAAAAAATCAGTAGTCTTTCTACAATTAACTTACAATGCAAGTTACAACTTACATGTCTCGGGGCTGTCAAATACCATTCAACTTAATGGTTGGTATATCTTGCAAAACTCAGCAATATTATGGATTTTGGAATGTTGTTCTAAGAACGTTATATAGTCTTATTTCTATTTTAATTTTTAGATCAATGGTATCATTTTAATGATAGTACAGTAACAGCATGTGATATTGAAACTGTATTGAAGTGTAAAGCATACATTCTATTTTATGTTCGTCGTGAAATACGTTTACCTGATTACCTGCGATTACCTACAAATGGTGCTGTTAGTTAAACTTATCTATTTAGATATCTACTTAATATATCACTTAGTTGGGTTTCAGTGGTATTTTTATTAAATTAAGATTACAAAAGGATTGATTCTTTACTCTTGGTAATATATCGGGCTTTAGCTGGTAAAAGGAATTGATCCTATTCATGAAATTTTGATGACTAAAGACACTTTTGGTTGCCATACAATTTTTTTTTTTGATTTATAGATTAATGTTCACATTGCAAAAGCTTCAAGTTCCAAAAATTGTACACAGGGTCATTTTCCAGCAACATTTTTGTCTGAAATGTATTTAAAGTGAATAGGTACATTGATTGTATTCATTTTGAGTGTGTGTGCTGTATATATGTAATGCATGAAAGATTGCTTGTAAATGGGTTTGTAAAAGACTAAAAAAAAAGAAAAATAAATGTCTTTGGAATTATTATGCTATTTTTGAAATATATTTACGATGAAATATCACATCAGGAAATGTCGAATCCTTTTTGTGCTCATTATTTCTTTTGGTGCGATCTGTACATTTTAGTGCTTGTTGTGTTCAAAAGACAGTATTACTGTGTAGTACCAAAACATACAGCTGTGATTGATATATTTTAAATCTATATTAAGGATCGACAACTTCATGATATTTTTCTCCTGGAATACTTTGATCAGACTATGATAAAACAAATATTGCATTGAATGCAAGTAATCTTCATTTAGTATGTTCTATGATCAATTTTCAATATTTCTGAATGCAAGTTATACATCAGCAAAAAGCTTGAAAACAAATAAAACTTTGAAATAAACTTGTTCTTTTTATTGTCAAAATCTGATTTGGGTTATGAGCTTAGGTTTTTAAACGCCCACATTATAATTACAATTGGCTTGTAAACGAAATAGAAACAACAGTTTTTATCTGATTTAAATGATGTGATCATTTATATTATTGAGATCTTAGACAAAATCAAATTTGACGATCTTTCGATGAACGTTTTTTTATTTATTGCCCTTGACTTAGGAAAAACACGTTAATATTGGTTTGTGAACACAGAGAGACCACAATTTTCAACCGATTTAAATGAAATTTGGTATGATCAATTATAATGATGAGATCTCTGACAAGTGAATTTGACGATCTTCCGATGAACGTTTTTTGAGTTATTGCCCTAAATTTGTTTGTGAACACAATAGAGAGTACAGTTTTTATCAGATTTAAATGATCATTTACAATGATGAGAGTCAAGATTGAATTTGACAATTTTTCGATCAACGGAATATGAGTCTTTTCCCTTGACTTAGTAAAAACGTATCAAAATTTGTTGGCGATAGATGTGACAGTTTATGTCAGAATTTCATTAAATAATGTGTGTTAATCAACAATATCTAGCACAAATTAGATTTTTGGTATGATTTGACACAGTGAGTGCCCTTAATATACTGAAAATGTATCAGGAAAGTGGTCGTATATTGCTAGGCAACCACTTATGTTTAGGAATTAAGACAGGTGATCATTTACAGTCTGGCATAACTATTTGACCTCCAATCTCGTTCTGAAAATGTTCCATTATCTTTACTAATACCAGTGCAGTCACAATATTCTGCATGAATAGTACTGGATAGTGATGTCACTGAAGGGCAATAACTTATGAGCTAGATAAACACTGGCTTTCACTCTTATGTCTAAGTTTCTTATATAGATTGAAAATCGATAAAGACACTAGGCATTTCAAATCACAAAATTTCTGAAAGCTATTAAATGAATTGGAAAAAGATAACAACATTGAAATTTTAAACATTTTAGCAATTAAGTAAACCATCAGCCTATTTTATATACCTTTTAACAGATAACTTCAGGTAGGCTGTCTTGAGAGAATAACACCAAATTGATTAAAAATTTAATAAACATGATCCATCATTCTTGATCTATACTATATGATATAAAAATATAACAATTAATATTCAAACCACTTATGAGGTCTTAATATTCAATATTTCTTCATCAGAAATGTAAATAAATCTGTTGGATTTCTGTAGTACTATAGATAGTTTATAGTGAGCTCTATCAGCTGATAAAACAAATATTTAGGTGACTTGATCACTTTAAGAGAAATCTAAAATCTGACTATTAGTAGATGGGAAATGCATGATTTTTAATATCACTTAATCATAAAATCAACTTTGATTACAAATCATTGAGGTAGTCAATGAAGTAAATTTATTTTCTTCTGTAGGTAATGCCAAATCTTATTCTTGAAAGGGACAGTGTGCAAACTTTTCGTTATCAAAAAGGCCAAAATTATACCTGAAAATATTTCTAAAATAATATGCCATTTACGTCTATGTACCTACTTGATCAAACTGAATTTGTTTTAAATTAAAAATTATAATTTAAAAAGTTAATTAAAAATGAAGTTGTTAAGGAGTTTGACCTAGTTTTGATGTTTATCTTTATTATGACTCAATATTATTAGTTGAAACCTTTAGAATAAGTAGGAGACATATTTTTCTATAATTCTGCGTGTATATTGCTTCATACAATATAAGTTAAGTATTCAAAAATGCCCCTGATTAGTTTATGAGCATCCAAAGGGGATCTGAAGGTAGATTTTATAAACAACAAAGAATTAGTTTTGGCATTAAGAAGAAAGTATAATTATTTTTTAGATATACAATCAAGACGTTCATTAAAACTTGATAATCCCCAGGCACGGTGTTTATCTTCTAATACATCACGATATGCTAATCTCTTGACTTCATATTCTTTACCTATAAAATAATCAACAAACAATAAATTCAATCAATAAGATGTAGAATTAGGCATTTGTAATAAAGGACTATACACTGCAAAGGTGATGTTTGATTAATCTCATTCTAAGGAGTCTTTCATCCACCTTATCCAGTGGCTTATTTGTGTATAAAATATTTATGTGCCAATATTTCTATCTATTATTCAATCCTCAATTTCTCTAACCAGTAAGACAGCAGTAGAGAACTTCTGCAGAGTGCGATCTAATTATATGTCTTAGGACATTCTTAACTTCTATAGATTTGACACTTTACAGTTTTGTCTACTGAATGATTAAGACAAGACAAATTGTATGGAAGTAAACCATAACTCAAAGCACATTTTTATACCTGACTTGAACAAATATGATTGTTAATATATGAACATACCATAGGATTCTTGTATTACTTCTTCTGACACAAATTGTGGTGGACCTAATGAAAATGGATGTTAATGAAAAAATAATGTAATTGAACTGATTTTGTTGTTATTATATTTGGGTGTTTATATTTAAGTTTGTCCGCATGATTCCAAAATTTGTATTCATGTTATTGGTTTAAAAAATATCCATCAATGCCATTGTGAAGATGCCAACTAGTCAAGATATTTTGACTCTCTACAAGGTCATGAATTTATAAGCTGTAATGTCTTAATATACTTTTTAATAGAATCATGATTCAGATCCAGACATATGACATTGACTCGGATCTTAACTTTTATCCTACATCTTGGATTTTTTTCATGACAAATTTTCATTGAACGACTTTTCATTTCAATAAAATTGTTGAAATAGTGAGACACCTGTACTATTTAAATAATTTGGGATAAATTAAGTCTACTATCTAACTATCTTCAGACATTTTCTTTCTGATATCACATTGGTATATCATGCCTGAAGACCTGGGTAGAGTCAGTGATATTGAGCTACATCTCTACATTTCAAAATTATGTATAATTATACCTGGATGAATAGTTTCATCAAAATCCAAGGTGGCTAGAAAATAAACTGTCTCATCTGTCATTAGAGATTTCATCAATTTCACATACCTAAAAAATAATAAAAATTCACCATTCATGTATCGTAATTTCTGTAATAAGTACATGTTAACAAATAATAGAAAAAAAAATTATCTATGAATGCAAATTGAGTTTAAAAATATATTTTATATTGTTCTGCAATTGTTCTCTTAAAGGATTAATTTGTCTAAGAATTTAGTAAGAAAAAGTTTGAAGTATTGAAAGCATTTTGCAAAAATATAATTCTGCAATTCTTCATAGAATGGGAGTAGGACTTTTGTCACTTTAGGAACACAAGAATGTTAATAACATCTTTAAATTGACGACAGTCATGATACCTGCTTTTTTCCCAATTCAACAACTATGATATTGAAGTATGTACTTGTTGATCTTGAGGTAACATGAAAGAATGAATTACTTACTTTGTACGATCTTCTCTATTTATAGCCACAAAAGATGCTCGATCCCAAATTGCACCTATATCTTCTTCCATTTCTCTATAATTGACAATTCAATGTAAAAAAATTCAAAAATCTGTATCTGACCAGCAGGTAAGTTCATCACCCACAACAGGTTTTACTTTTATACTATTATTGCAATAAGGAAGAAGCTGTGGTTTTTCTACATATAGAGCCAAGTTGTTTGCTGCCATATTATAAGATTTGTAATCTGTCTTGTATGTTCACAGACTGAAGATAAAGAGACTGTCTAACCCAATCAGTCTCTCCCACATGCATCAATATGACAATTTGTTCTGAAAACTGACACAGACCGGGTCTTTAATTATTAAGTTGGCTGAAAAAATTAAATAAATACCTACTTATTAAAGGAAAATATATCACATTGGTAGATTCTTATTTTCTCATCTTTGCTCTAAAACAATCAGTGTCCAATGTGTCAACAAATTACATAGTTTACAACTATAGCTATCTCTTGATTAAACACAAGGAGGAAATACATCTTATCAAACTGAAACACTGGCTTGGGCTGGGTATCGATCAACAAATTGAAATTGATTATCAATGGCAGAATAATGATCAATATACGAAATGATTTATTTGAGAAACATGCCAAAATTCTTAATTTCATGGGTGTTTGTTGCGTCATCAGTCAAGTGCTGAACTTATTTGGAAGAGATTACTACTTGTTAACAGGTACAGGGGAGATAATGTAACTTCGACAATATAATAGATTATGAAATTTGATAATCGATAATCAAAATTATACATTCCTAGCGACAACAATTGATTATTTACCCAGCACTAACTGAAGTCTAAGCAGGGATCCCAGTGAGGAATAATAGAGGAAATTAAAAATACAAGCTGAGAGTCAAGGGGGCCACAGGCTTCCATGTAGGGTGCAGGAAGAAATTTTACCATTTTAAGATGCTTTAGAATTCGTTTCCTATATAGAAATCTCTTTATTCTGTTAATCAAATTCCACTAGCAAGAAAAACAGAGGAATTCCTCTAACAATAATAAGTCTGGGTCTTTCTTAGCAGACTATAAAATCAATGATCACAATCAATTTCTCACCTTTCAAATTATGACAGTATCAGAATTACCTTAAATACAGCACCCTTGACCCTTTCATTCTTCTCTTCAATAAATTCTAATCCCTGTTCATCAAAAAATTCTCGGATAGCTTTTTCTACAAATTCAACACCTATTACTGTATGTCCTTTATCATATAACCTAGAATTAAAAATACTTCTTGTATTATACTGTTCAATGTTTGGTTCAAAAACTGAACAGAAAATTATTGTAGATGCCATTTTCATCAAAATCAACGACGTCTTGGTATGTTCATATGTTTTACTTTTCATGAAGATGACGTCCAAAACAAAACAATTTAGTTTTATGAGTTTTAATTAATGAAATAGCAGATATTTGAAGGGTATATATTACATACCATTTCATATCAACTGATTTACCACATAATGGTACAAATATCTTGATTTCATCTCTACCATTAAAAAACTTGTCACTGTATTTCACTAGTAACCTGTATACAATCAGAAAATTAACTTAATTCAGATAACATACAATATAAAATAAAAGCAGTTTGTTAAAGGGACAGATACACCATTTTTTTGGATCAATTGTACCTTAGTCAATCGGGAATTTGATTTAACTGATGGTAATTTTTGGTCAGAAATATAGTTTTGGAAGGTAGGTGTTGATTTTCAATGAGGTTCAATGATGATACCCTACTGCAACCCAAATGAAAAAGCTAAAAATAGATTCCTTGTTTAGTCAATGACTAAAACAGATCGTCATAATCTTGCCACATTATGTATAAAACTAGCGGTATAAGCTAAACCGTGTTTAAAAGACATATTTGTAAGTTAGAAATAAAATAATTAAATAAAAATTTGTCGGTTGGTATTTGGCTGTCTTGGTAATGTTCAGCTGTGAAAAGGCACACATAGAATTACCTCCCTTGTGAGTCCTGATAATCTTTATCAGATGACTGCTTGATCATTAGAATCCATTTGTAATAAGCTAATTACGAGTAATAATTAACTTAAGACAAACTGGCATTTTTCCCAATCATTAGAGCACCTCTACTTTCGATTTAAGTATTAACCATCCAATAATGGAATAGACATATAAATAAATGAACATAAGGCCACCTGGCTTTAAGAACAGGACTATAAAATCAATGATCACAATCAAATTCTCACCTTTCAAATTATGACAGTATCAGAATTACCTTAAATACAGCACCCTTGACCCTTTCATTCTTCTCTTCAACATACTAGATTTGTAACTCCCTAACATTAAGTATCCCTGCCCATCATGTTTGGCAAGTAGTGATAGGCCCTAGGCCTAGTATCAACAGGAGATTATTCTAACCATTTTTGATGTTTTCATATCTAGATGACAACCCAGATTCTAGATTCTGATACAGTGATACTGATCACTAAAAACTAGACATTTTGCAAAATTCTTAGTGAAGTACCTCTATCCCCCATCTCCATCTTTCACTTCTCATAATACTCACTCATGAACTTTTGACTCATGGAAACCAATCTCATGCTTCTCCCATTTCTCATTCCAATCATCAAGATAATAATCTCTGCATTTAACTTTTTTAGTTTCAGGTTCATTAGTTTCTAAACTCATCATTAAACTATAATAAAAAAAAAAGGGGGGTACAGTTTTAGGCAAACTGAAATATATTTGAATATTCTATGTACTTAATGATACCTTAAACGTATTTAAACTCAAGTTGTCTGTTCAAACTACGTAGACTATACACATTTAAATGGACATTCCCCTTTTTTGTCGGTTGAAAATTTTTTTGCTCTAATTTAAGAAACTATATAATCTAGAGAAGTAAGCCCTAAAAGTATCCAAAAGTTTTAACTTAAATAATCCAGCCGTTAATTTTTAAATGCCAAAAATATTTATAAACATTACGTAAGGTTTTTCAAAGTTTGTTATGCTTTTTGGAAGCTGTTTTTGGCATAGCCCCCTAAGTACGCCACTGAATCATAATTACAAATACAGTCAAGTAATCTAATTTCGTGCTAACCTATTTTTCGTGCTTTACCGGAAAGGATTATTAATTTACATGTGGGACCTCGTGTGACATCCACGTTATCTCTACAATATCAGCTAGTGGAATGAATCCAGTAGTTTCAAGCAAGGTAAAATGTATTAATGTATACTTTGACAAATACAAAATGGAGGATTTCAGTTATTACCAAAGAATAATATTACCACAATTTTATATCGGCCGAATTTACTTATAATCCCAAGCTGTAATCGGAATTCCAAGTGTCATCTGCTAGAATGTAGTCCAACGAATGAAGTCATTTGATCAAATAGCGGATTCAGAGTCAGCAGAAAAATTCTATGGAACACAATTATGTGGGCCATTTTCTTATGTTGTTTCAATGACTTTTTTTTAGCAATAAATCACACTAGGTATCTTATTTTGTCAGTCACTATTTTTTTTTAAATCATGGCTCTTTGAAGGAATTGTCGCTAGTTATAATGAATTCATAAAGAAAATCGAAACAAAATAATTCCAATTATTTTGTAGAATATCTGAGGAAACATAAAAGGCATAAAATTTTTTTTCCGTTTTTTTAACTTTAATGGTGTTAAATCCTTATATGCACGAAAATAGGTTACCGGTACTGTACGATCACATTTTATATTTTAGCCTAAACACTAAATTGGGAGTAGTACATTCGTGTGTCTTAGCTGAGTTAGAGACAATCGTCAGTTCCATCTTTCAGCCGAATAACAGGAAGGGGTGTTGTGACAATCTACCTGTAGGCCCTACTCTCTGTATCAATGTAGCCTATAGATATCAAAAATCAAAATAATGCTGTCCTGTATGGTCGTCGTCGTCCTGTATCAGAAAGTTAACTTCCGGACTTCCTAAAGCCTCGATCATCCAGCCACACACACAGGGGTTCCATTCTGCACATTTTTATTAGCAACCTCTGAGTGCAAAACCATTGCAATTATTTACATAAAATAATTCGCGTTATCAACTTTTCCTCTTTATATGGAAATTTCTATTGTCTTCTGGGGGAAATTCAGAGCCTGTTTTGTTTGCAGGGTTACCTCCATAGCCTATAGAGTTATGGTTACCTCCCTTCCATTGATTGAAGATTGAAGCATAGATGATATATATATACATGTAATATATTTATAACTCTATGGATTGAAGCATAGAACGCATGAGCCATATTGATTGTACGACAAAAACTACGTAATAAACACTGGCTATGTAGTAGGCCTAAGCTAGACTAGGCCTAAAATGGTGCGATGACTCAAGACACAATTCAAACATTTATAGTAGACCTATATAACTGTCAAATCTAATTATCTGAAGTATGTATATTTTATTTTAATAAATTTATCCATATAAAAAAATAAATTAAATTTTTAACATAAAGTAAACTTGACCGGGGCTTAGTGGCCCGATTTTTAGATAAATCCCCACATCCCTATTCAAAAACTATTGAAAACTACCGGTACCGAATGCAACTTATTAAAAATAAAGGCGGCTTTTAGCTTTAAACTCAATCAGTCAAAGGGGGCAAACTTGCCCCTGACCGGAGCATGTTTTGCATGGCTATGGTGCAAGTTGGCACTGAGAAATAACTCAGTCATTATTCAGGCAATAGACACTACGAGACGATTTCCTTTTGTAGACACGAGTCAATGTTCATTATCTTCAAGTAATCACAGAAAGAAAGTAAAAATCAGTCATGTTGGATGAAACAAAACCTCTTTGCCACCTCTGCAAATTATGAGTCAATTTCAAGGCCAATTCAATTTATCTTTGAAAGCATCTACTTATTTTTTAATTAACATTAAATGTTAAAGCTAATTACTAAATTTTAGTATGCGGATCTAATTATGCGTATTGACAAACTACAACATTTCCAGTCTTATTTCGGGGCATACAATGAGCAACTTAATTGGCCCCTGGACCCACATGCCCCATATATATTGGGCCAACAAGCCTCAATAAAATTTAGAGCACTTGTAGAACAAATCACATGATCCCACGTAGGCATCTAACCAATTAAAGTGTCATTTGAAGGGGCACTGGGACGACACTCTTGACATAATATAATGTGTTAAGCATTTAAACTATCACAAAAACAAGGGAGAAAAATTGTTTCTTTACTGTGAAAAGAAAAGTTAGTTTCACACTCTCGCCATTTATTACATAAAACGATGGGGTCAATCAGGTGTTTTCTACACACAAAGGCTAATTTATTGGGCGTCCAATTGCCCTTATCCAGAGATTTTTTTTCCGGAAATAATGAATAGGCCTTATACGGATATTTTTTTTAGAAATCATAGGCCTATCATAGGGTAGGACTATTTATTCTATATTATTATAGAGTAACCAGTTTAAAAACAATTATTTAAGCAGATTCCTAATAGATTCCTATTTCTAATTGTTCAATGTAATGATCCGAAAGATTACCACTTGAGGTGGGATTTTTGGTCGATCGGTCCTACGCCTATCGTATCGAGCACTACCTTCGAAGCTCTTCGGAGAAAATCTGGCGCGATCGCCTAAATCCTTCGCGGGTCGGGTCCCGAAAAAGCTGTCGGCCTGTGGTCGTCGTGGTCGATCCGGACAATTTTGTTGGCCGAAGATCGTTTACAATTGCGGCTCACTGCGCCAATACTACACAGCAACTCGCGAAGATTGCATGCGCACGAGAATTAGCGTATGCGATGTGTTGTATTACCCATAAATGTAATACCCACTATAAATGTAATACTCGCCATAAATGTAATAACCAACCCCACCATAAATGTAATAATATTTATATATTGCCATTGGTCGGCATCAAATGGGTAAAATAATAAATGAATTCCTCGATTGTTGTCCTAAATCAACTAAAAAAAAACCAAACAGATCTATTATTATAATAATTTATAAAAACTGATATTTCGGCAATTTAATTAAAATTAACACTTCGGCGACTCTCATGGCGAGCCATAATTACAACATGTTTAATATTTTATTCGCTCATCACATATCCCCCTGATCATGTTTAACTAATTCGTATCGCTTTACGCGTTGTTTTTGCATTATTATCGCTCTCTTTGTTGAGTGCTTTGACGGAACCTTGTCGCTTTTTTCTACGGAGAGCAGGAAATGTGTCTTTGCTTCTGGAACATCTAATTTCGGTTAAAAATTCGGTTCTAAATTCCAGACAAGTGCTTAAAACTTGTTGCAACTACATGAAATATCACAGTCAACACCATTTTTCGGACAGAAACAGGATCGAGACGAGTAGCCTCGTTTGTACTAATGGGTACACATTTTCTATTTTCTTCTATTCGCCACTCGTTTAGTGGTAATCGGTTTTCTGACCAAGCTTGCTTGTAAATTCTCAGGGAGTGAAATTTGACAGAATCGCACGTAGGTGGTAAAGTGCATGGGTGCACATGTCCAGTTTTTACTTTCAACACGTATTTTCTGAAACTTAGTACGTGGTCCAGAGATAAAGTCTTACACTCACCAAGTAATTGAAGGAGCATCTGACAATTATTTGAGCGTAAGCATCAGCGTCACTATTGTGTACTGTGAATCCATTTTCCACCAGAGTCTTGCTCAGCAAGTCGACGAATAATTGTTTATTATTTTGATTAGAAAGAAAGTCTGTTTTGCGAATGTTTAGGACACAATGGCTCTCAACACGCACGTTTTTGCATTTTCGTGTCATGGTTTTGACTGCATGTGTTGAATCTTTCGTTGATATCCCACCATATCCACCAAAGCATAAGATAACTGCATTTCCGTATCTGTATCGTAGAAACTTGACGTAAATCTCAGAAATCTTGTTGAATGTATCACCCTTTTTCCATGGTCGGCTGTGGATGAGCCACCCACAATCATTAACGAAACAGTACCTTTCGATTGGTAGCTGTTCTGGGGTCAGCCTACATTGGACTGGTAAGGTAGTCCACAATCCATCAGCTAACGTCGGTTTATATGCTTTAAGCAAAGTCTGCTTGTTCTCAAACAGACATGGTGGATATCCGCATAGTCCATGAGAGAACAATTGGTTCTTATCTGCTGCGAGAGCCACGAACCTATGAAACAGATCAGATGGATCGTAATTTATGTCGTATTCGCCAACAGAGATGGTATTGACGCCATTTGCACTCATAAATGCATATGAAGGTGGTCGCTTATTAGTCGTTAATTACATTGAAAAATCGTAGGGGGGATTTTATTGTAGTCGCATATTGAAGGTGATTGCTTAATAAAGGTGGTCGCGTGAGCAGGATATACTGTATATTGCACAACATTCTTGTCAATCATGTCGTTCAGAATATTTCGTCCAACCATGACGGCTTCGTGACAATTAACACAGTAAGCTGCCGTTACTCCTGTCGCTATGTTGAACAGTTCTGGTGATTTATCTTGAAATAGACTCCTCTCTTCCAAATAATTTATTTGAACGTCTGTTCTATCCCTTTAGATTCTTGATTTGGAACTTTCTATATGTTGTTCGCTGGTTATATACAAGGTATGTGTTAACTCCTGCATTTGGGCGTTTACTAGCTTCAAGACAGTTGTCTTGACATTAACCAACCACGCCCTCTCGTCAGCCCACCATTGGTTTTCATAGCTCGCATAAGAGTTGTTTCTATTGCTAGGTCGGAACTTATACCAACCCAATACCTATTTGCCTTTCGGATAGCGTGTCGTACATTCACGAAATGGGCGGATACCTCTAGGTTGGTCGTTTTCAATTTCATCATATCCTGAAGATATATATGTACAGTTATTGTTTATAGATTGTGACCAGCTGCAGCTAAAACTGGCAAAGCAGCCTTCAGAGTTTGTATATGTAAGCTCGTTCAGCACACAGGATGTTCCGACTTCTCCAAGGTCCATATACTGGCACCATAACTTGGCAGTGGCGCTTTTTCCAGACAGAGCAGACAGAGCGGCATTGACAGCTGTGGCATACTTGAGCATCAGGTATTCTACCACTGAGTCGCTTGGTGAAACAAGTCCATTGCTCACTTCTTCGCAAACTTTCTGTATGGCATAAATGTCTTGACCAGTGAGGAGGGACATTGAGTGCGCCTCTCGTTCCATCAAAATATTTAGTACTGCATTCACAAGTTGATGGCATCGCATAGTTCTTTCGTGAGCTTTGCCGGACATGAGATGAAGGAGCACATTTTCCGCAAAAGGCGCTCCCAGTAGCTGTCTCATACGATGAAGCCGAAACAACCTGAATACGACATCTGGAGATGAATTGTGCCGATTCTCAAAACAAGTTTATGTAAGTCCCTTTGAATTTGCTCATTCTGAATTAATGTCTTTGCCTTCCACCATAGGGGCTGGTCAAAAGTTATAACCGGTGTCACGCCAAATTGACGAGACACAACATAACACAAACCGGAGTATACACAGGTTGAATCATGGGTAGGAACAAAAGTGAGGATTTATCCTGGTGAGGTCCTTTCCTTACCTTTTGAACGAAACCCTGGTATACAGCTTAACCACTGCCGTTCCACATCCAATTTAAACCCTGGTATACAGCTTAACCACTGCCGTTCCACATCCAATTTATTTCATCAAAGTTTCTGCTGGAGTAGTCACTTCCGGGTAAGGATGTGAATAGTAGTTTCTTCTTTCCATCGACACTTGGTGAGCAATGCACTATAGGTACTTTTCCAATCGCCCACAAATCATCATCGGTAACTTTTTAACGTGGAACGACCAGACATAGTCAATTTTGTCACAAATGAACATAATTATTACATAAAAAGTAAATATTGTCTTCAAATTGCTCTATTCGAACTGAGTGCTACAGGCAAAAAATTATGCACTCCACATTGATGAATTTAATGGATTTTCATTTTTTTTGGACGGAATGAACTCTACTCGATCAGATTTTGCACCCACCAGTTTTTAATTAAACTGTTATATTTTCAATCCGTATTTGATAAATTTTCATTGATTCCGGTTGTTTGCTTTTTACACTATATGTCTATCGTCCTTAATTAACATGAACTTAAAAGTACATTGAGGACAATTACTGTGTATATGAATGTTATTTCAGTGCTCCTTATATCTATGACATGAATTCAATAACATAAATATAATATATAAAAAGTCAAGTAATGTTGACTACTACTATTTAGGATGTTTACGCTTGAAAGGCAATAAAAATCAGAACAATAAAACGAAAGGTTCTACTGACACAGTTTTATTATAACATTGCTAAGAATGTGAATTTCATGGTTTAAATAACAAAAGATACAATCATTAGTATGGGAATGAGATCGAAATAATATAATAAATAGGTCGTCCAGTGAAATATGAAAATATGCACGAGCATGTTTGAAAATATGACATAAAGGAAAATCGAATTTTACGAGGCAGAGATATTATAGGCTCTGATAATCACAAATATCTCAGTGCATTAATATCTCCCTCTGGTTTCCACTTTGTGTTTTCCAGATTGTCTTCTCCAAATACATCCCATTGTTAACAGGCTATGTCGTGTACATATCTCAATTTATTCATAACTTTAATATATTCGAGCAGATATCTTTTATAAGAAGTTTAATGTCATAAGCCAGCTATTACCTTTCAAGCTTCTAAAGCATTGTTCTGTCTCTTTAGAATTTCGTTACGAGAGTTTGTTAATAAGGTTTAGACTCACTAGATAAAACAAATATCTGTGAAATTTTTGCCAATGTATATTTTTCCACATAATCACCTCATAATAGGCCTACATTTATCATATCGAAATTTAAGGTTCCCAATTCCGGGTCACCCCAAAAAACTAATTCACTAAGCCCCGGTTCATTATAGTGGGCATGACGTTTGAGGCTGACCCAGGGCCCAGGTATTTTTTTTATCACAGCGCGGTACTCAACTTTTTTATTTTCTGGATTCATTTTGCCCTTAAGTTGGTTTGCAGATGTCTCACTAGATTACAATCGCTATTGGCCTTTGTATGTTTGGTGTGTACTATTTCCTCCAACATCGTGCTCCCACCCTACGACCAGAAACCAAATTTAAGTACGTATTCTCCGACTAACTGTTGATAAATTGATGTCTCTCTTGCCATTGTCTTATACGACTGATTTGCCTTGTGGTTAGAACGTTCGTTTTGATTACATTTTTCTATTTGGACATAATCATATCAACTACGTCGCAAGTGTCCAAGCAATACAACCATCTGAGATATGGCGGTCCAATGGTTCTGAAGATCATAACGAGGGAACATGTGTTGTACACGTTAAAGATCCCTCGACAGTTGGAAAACAAAAAGAGTAAGTTAATGTCGCCGTCACGCGTTGTTTGTCTTCGTTTACCCATTATGTTGCTGAAGGTAAGCCGTAAAACTCCAATCATTTCATTTTAATTTCCAATGTTTCTGTATATCATAAGGTGAAGGCCTATCTCCTTATATAATTATATCACGTAGATTGTTATAGCATGAACAGGATGATAACTTTTCAACGATATTAATAATAATTATATTAATAATTAGTATATTTGTCTCTTGATAAAATATGTAATTACGGTCCTGTAACCGACTTCAAAGCACCTCAATTGTTTAATAACCTTAACTTTTCCGTGATCATCACAACCAGTTTTATTTTTATACTTACAATGATAAATATTTTTCTAGCCTATTAATTTTCAATGAATTGCAGGTTTGAAAAAAAATGTAATGATAATGTTTTGGGTCTATTCACCACCCTTGACAACTCTTTAGATCAACTAAATATATTCTTTTATTTAGAGGTATTTATAGTTCTTTTCTCTGGGCGTAGTGACCGATTTTCATAATAATTATTTCATTTTCAATGACGGATCAAATCGAATGATGGCGACTAGGTCGCGGTGGATTTTTAGTTTTATTCTCTTGACCTCTGCAACCCTTATATCTGGTATGTATAAAAAAAAAACAGACACCTATACGTCAGTTGTACAAATGTATTAGAACATTGCATTCCTTTATTTATTAAAATCATCGAAATAATATACAAATATTTTATAGGTGAAGATTGTTTTGATTTTCTATGTTATTATGCTAATAACTGTGAAAGCGGATTAAACAATGTTACAGGAAACTGCGTTATCTGTGCAGAAGGCTGGTCAGGTAAAAAATGCCAAAAAAGTAAGTAAACGATTTTTAACATCAGACATTCGACAGTTGTATTTGTCCATTATTTTCCATATTTGTTAATCGATATAATGTAGTAAACATTTTTCAGCTTTGCGTCCACTTTTAAGACAAATGATAACCTTTAAGACCTATCTACAAATGGTAACCTTTAAGAACTATCTTCTAATGATACCCTTTAAGACCTACAGTATATCCTGCTCACGCGACCACCTTTATTAAGCAATCGCCTTCAATATGCGACCACAATAAAATCAACCCTACGAGTTTTCAATGTAATTAACGACTGATAACCTTTAAGACCTATCTACTAATGGTAACCTTTAAGACCTACAGTATATCCTGCTCACGCGACCACCTTTATTAAGCAATCGCCTTCAATATGCGACCACAATAAAATCAACCCTACGAGTTTTCAATGTAATTAACGACTGATAACCTTTAAGACCTATCTACTAATGATAACCTTTAAGACCTATCTACTAATGACAACCTTTAAGACCCATCTACTAATGACAACCTTTAAGACTTATCTACTAATGATAACCTTTAAGAACTATCTACTATTAATGATAACCTTTAAGACCCCTATCTACTAATAATAACCTTTAAGACCTATCTACTAATGACAATCTTTAAGACCTATCTACAAATGATAACCTTTAAGACCCCTATCTACTAATGATAACCTTTAAGACCTATCTACTAATGATAACCTTTAAGACCTATCTACTAATGACAACCTTTAAGAACTATCTACTTATGATAACATTTAAGACCTCTATCTACTAATGATAACCTTTAAGACCTATCTACTAATGACAACCTTTAAGAACTATCTACTTATGATAACATTTAAGACCTCTATCTACTAATGATAACCTTTAAGACCTATCTACTAATGACAACCTTTAAGAACTATCTACTTATGATAACATTTAAGACCCATCTACTAATGACAACCTTTAAGACTTATCTACTAATGATAACCTTTAAGAACTATCTACTATTAATGATAACCTTTAAGACCCCTATCTACTAATAATAACCTTTAAGACCTATCTACTAATGACAATCTTTAAGAACTATCTACTTATGATAACCTTTAAGACCTCTATCTACTAATGATAACCTTTAAGACCTATCTACTAATGACAACCTTTAAGACCCATCTACTAATGACAATCTTTAAGACCTATCTACAAATGATAACCTTTAAGACCTCTATCTACTAATGATAACCTTTAAGACCTATCTACTAATGATAACCTTTAAGACCTATCTACTAATGACAACCTTTAAGACCTATCTACTTATGATAACCTTTAAGACCTATCTACTTATGACAACCTTTAAGACCTATCTACTAATGACAACCTTTAAGACCTATCTACTTATGATAACCATTAAGACCTATCTACTAATGATAACCTGCATAACATAATGTGGTATGAAATCTGACAACATGAATCCCTGTTCAACAAAAGGAATATCTTACATCAGGTGAACATATGAAGAATAACGTTCAAGATGTTTGAAACTTACTTGAGATTATCGTAAATGCTCAGTAAGATGGTTGATCTTGACCAAATGATTTCGACAAGAACTAAATATGTTGTCTCTTTGTTACAGAGAACGTGGCTCTCAAGAAACCAGAATATGTCGACATACCAAAAAATAGCGGCTCTAATTATGATATAATTGTTGATGGTAAAACGACACAAGACAAGACGTCTTGTATAGAAGAATATCGCCTAGATGTAGATATATATTTAGATGTGAATTTGATGTCATTGTATTACATAAAGGACGTATCTATATACTACATGAAAGGAGGTATTGTCTAAAAGTAAAACATATTCAATAGAATTCTATTACAGTGCCTTCTACTGCTTTATAACGTTCTAAAATAGGTCAATAAGATCAATCTTAAACAATTTCTATTCCAGTATGGCTTGTCAGTAGTCCCTGTATAAAGTCAGTATGTTAAACTATGTCTGTAAATAGCTAGTCGATCCATAGCCCTACAAATCTAGCACTACCCGTTCCTCGGACGTGGTGTACGGATGGATATCGGCGCGTTTAGGACCAGACTTAAGACACTTCTTGTGGGAATTGAATCTTAGTTTTTGCTAATTTTCACCATGACATAGGCCAAATTTGGCATTACTTTTGGTATGTATACAAATCTGAACTATCAAGATATTACTGGTTATTCTTCAATGTTCTTGTCTGTGCCTCAAAGAAAATAAAACTACATTTAACTGAAAAGGAAACAGTAGCTTAACACGCTGACAAGAATTTCTGTCAAACCACATTGAGGTACATATCATTATTTAAGCAGATGAAGAGACCTGTTTGTGTATCTTTAAATCTACTATAACAAAATATTTACACTTCAATACATCAGCTGTAGAACGATATAGAAATAAAGAAACGCTACTCATAGTTACTTAGGGTTTCACTCTGACAACTGACCTTTTTTTCAGCCCATTTCATTTTTCCCTACTGAGGTTTGACAAGTGGTTTCCGTGCCTACACTTTCGGTTTCAGGGTTTAAAAATACTATATATACTTAATACAACTAAATGTATATGTACTGTTTTAGCCGTTGCAAGTTTACGTGGATTTTCTGTGTTTATTGGAAACACATCAACTTTTGATGAGGGTGAACTCTGTTACCAACATAAAGATGAACCATTGCAGGACATTACAACGATATCTTGTAATAAAACTGGACAGTACCTTAAAATGAAAAATAGTCGAGCAAATCCACCTTACCCAGGAGATTATAGTGATGAAACAGACCTTCAAATATGTGAAATCCAGGCATTTGGTATGTAATTTTTTGAATGTTTCTGAACTTGGTGGGATCGGCTGTCTGGCTGTTGCATACTACTATTAAATATTAGACTAGAATCGTCATAATGCTGTCAATGCACTGGTTTCATATATTTATAATATAAGTATAGATCGTTTTAACGTTTTAATTTTGTCAATGAAAATTATTCCTATAGACCGTATAAATGCTCTATAGTATTCTAAAAATTTTCAGTATGTGCGAAAAATTCGTTTGGTGAGAACTGTGAAGGGTTGTGTCATTGTTATGGAAACGATACATGTGATCCATTTATCGGTATTTGTCCTGGCAGTGATGGCGAAAAATGCAGTCAAGGATGGGTTGGAGATAGCTGTGACCAGAGTAGGTAGACCTTAGCGTGGTTCTCATTATATCCCTTCCAACGTTATGATGTCCATTTATAACAAAAACAAGTTCTACATATCTTTTATTAATTGTTGTTAATGGATACTACATGAGTTCAGGGTTATTAGGAAAAATGGTCTGAGTATATAAACTTCTTTGTTCGGAAAGTTAGAAAACATAGTCATGGCCATTGCATTAAAAAGTTGACAGAGTGTTCCCTCACAACACTTTATATCGTGCGTGAATAGCAATGCTATGAAAAGAATTTGATAACAATTTTGTATATGAAAATATATTTTTTGTCTTTTAAAGGGTGTGAGGGTAAATATGGTCCCAACTGTGGAAAGCAATGTTTACTAAGGAAATGTAAAGGAACATCATCATGTAATACTTTTGATGGTAAATGTGAAACTGGCTGTAAATCTGGTTACAGAGGAGATGATTGTGTTCAAGGTAAGCGTCTGTCTGAAATTCTGAAACTGCACAAAAGGTTAAAGAAGAATCGTACTCGGAATTTTAAATCTGAAACTTTCTGGTTGGGCAATGTAACGTTCTTGGAAGTCTTAGTAGTTTGATCGTTATATTGGTATCATTGGATGAGACAACACTCTTGGTTTGGAAGTACAGAAATGTTTGATATTCTTTCGTCACTTTTAAAGCATTGAAAATATTTCTTTTAGAATGCCTTATTGGATTTTATGGTGAAAGCTGTAGTCAGCGATGTAATAACAACCAATATTGTAAAATAAGTACTGATTGTAATCATATTACTGGATATTGTAATAATGGTTGTCAAACTGGATGGACTGGACCAAAGTGTAATTTAGGTATAGCTTGAAAACATCTTGGTATATGTAATGTACGGCCTCTGTTTTTCTCCTTTTGGTTTTGTCTATATATTGGTTCCGGTTAGATTTACTACTTCTTAGGATGACCAAAAAAGTACATTTTTTATATTTAAAATGAGTGAGTCATCAGTGGACTTACCCTGTGTCAAAACTATACGACAAAATCACTTTATCATTCAATAAATCAATAAAACTAAGTAATAATTCATTTAACTAAATCCAAATGGTGACTATATATACACTTGCTGACCTAGTTTGAGACTTATCCATTCTAAGAGATATTATTCCTTTAAAAGTACATGTATTAATGGGTTGGAAACTTCTTATTAGCAAATGCTGTAGTATAAATCGTCGATTATAATAATAAAAGCTTGTATGTATGTATCCGAGATTTTGGTACAATCATTGACTATATACAGCAGTTATATAACATCCCTCTAGAATAGTTATCTCTGTATATATATGTACTCTCAGAATATCTCAAGATAATTATATTCAATTCCGTAATTGGATAATAGACATCTGAAAGTAAAATGCTACTATGTATTTTGTATCTTAAAATATCTCAAATTAGAGTCTTTGGCTAGCTTGAATGTAATAAATAAAAATCTCTTTTATCTATGGGATCAAATCTCAAAGAAGTTGAAGCAAATCGAATGCTCACATAAATCGATTTAAAAACCATAATCCATTTCATTTGTTATTATATCATAAAAATATATGTTGAAAAATTGTTTTTGAGTAAAATTAAGAATTCTTTTAAATATTTTTGATTTTCATCAACTGTTATTTTTGTTAGTTTGTAATAGTGGAACATTTGGTGATAATTGTCAACAAAAGTGTCATTGTTATGGTACTGATGTTTGTCACCATGTTACTGGTAGCTGTCCTGGAACTGGTAGATTGAAATGTGAAGAAGGGTGGTCAGGAGATAGTTGTGATCAAGGTATGACAATTAACGTATCATAGTTTCAAACGACGACTTTTTTAATGCCCCAAACGGAGTGTTTAGTAGTATAGTGGACTAGCGAATACAGATGCTAGTTGAAAAGGTTTTGATGATATATGGTTTTCATTTTGTCTAAATCAATATCTAATGATATAGCCTATACACTGGCCTTAAAAACTATTTTATGTGTAATTTTACTTATATATATCTTGTACGACCACACTTTTACAGATTGTGCTGGTAAATATGGGACTAGTTGTGAAAAACAATGTTATCAAAGACAATGTAAAGGAACATCATCATGTAATACTTTTGATGGTAAATGTGAAACTGGTTGTAAATCTGGCTATACAGCAGAAGATTGTACTCAAGGTAATGTTTTTAACTGGATGGAACAAAGTATTTTCTTATTTCATAACTGATCGGTTTAATGTAGTTTTCATTATATTAAAATTTTTTTTATATATAACGAGGTTAAATCTTATATAAAATAAGTGTTTTTTACACGTATACCTACAAGGATTTCGATGAAATTCAAAATGAAGAATGCAACTATAGAACCCCTATTTCATTCTATGTAATGTGAAAACATTTGAAATTACCCTTGACGTCCGTGTCATAATTTTGGAGAAATTTGTTTTTCAACGACTACTAGCAACTAGCACCATGTAAGAGAATCACAACAATTAAGGTCTACCACAGTTAACAACTGAAAAATCGAAGTTGCCGCCAGATGCCATCAGTTGATGGTAGACAGTAAGTTTCTGTTTTGCATGAGGATAACTATTTTTCATATAAACGACACGGATAATGAACATTATATACGATTTACTAGTACATCATACCTGTAAAATAATTTTCAGAATGTAGTTTCGGTACATATGGTGATGTGTGCAGTAAACAATGTAATAGTGACAGACATTTCTGTGATGAAGTGGGGTGTGATCCTGTGACTGGTGAATGTAAAGGTGACTGTCAACCGGGTTGGCTTGGAAACAGGTGCAATGAAGGTATGCAACTAAATCTTGAAAAATTTCATCGGCATTTGACAACTCAGATATATTAACCTCATTCTTGCTACTTCTTCCATTTCTTCCGAAAAGGGAACCATGAAAAGTAAAATAATTATGTTCGTTATCAACGCGCATAGTCCATACTTTCAAACCTAAATTTTTTCATTGTTAGAGTCAATATCATTAGTTTAATCATAATGAATTTTGTATATTCAGAATGTCAAGTTGGTCAATATGGAGTTAACTGTATGTATAACTGTAATGTGAGACACTGTATAAATATGACAGAATGTAACTTTATTGATGGATCTTGTAATGGTAATTGTGAAGATGGCTGGTCTGGTGTAGATTGTGTCCAAGGTGAGTTAAAATTCTATCTTCGTGACTCCTTTTATATTTGCTTACCGTGATGATTAAAAAGATTACCTTGTTATGTTGATGTAACATAATATATCGATTTCAAGGGATGTGAAGTGATTTGATTCTGATATTTTCTCAAATTATTGACCTATTAGATTTCTAGAGGTTGACTCGGGAGTAGATTGATTGACATGTGATATTGTACATTAACAGACATGTAAAACTTGAGCCATCTTCACAATGTCGAACTATTACGAAATTGGTCTTGTATCCATAGTGGAGTGATTTTATTGGATTGTACACCAGCGAATAGAACCATAAGAGCTCTAATCGACTGTATACGCTAACAGAAAGGTGGCTAATGCAGTCAAGGTATAAGACGAAGTTCGTCATAGCGTTACATTGTGAAGATAAACTTCAGAGACTTTCTTAAGAACTTTCTTTTTGTAGAATGTCCTGTAAGTTATTATGGAATAAACTGTACTGTAAGTTGTGACGAAAGAAACTGTAAAATAAACTCTCCGTGTAATACTAATAATGGTGAATGTATTGGTGGCTGTTTGGAAGGTTTTATCGGATTGGATTGTATATTTACAGAGCCCAGTGGTACACTTAATCCTTTCTATATTTTATCATTCTCATTATATGACACCGTTTTAATCAAATTAATGTTATTTAGAGACACTAATATGTACACTTTGGAGAACTTACTAAGTTCGTAATAGCTGACATTGTGAAGATACGAGGAGCTATTAAGTGAACAGATATCACATAGTCGGTGCAATAACGCTCACAGAAGTAAAAATTTAAGTTAAAATGCGAGACATAGTTTGTCGTGTGATCCAAAATGCCCTATGCACAGTTTTGCGATTATTTTTAAGAGCAATCTGATGAAAATGCAACTTTGAATGTTTCATTTCGTGTTTAATGCTGCACAGATGACTCGGCGTTCATGAAATTTTTATGCATCTTATGTTCTTGGTCGTTTAATATTCTACCAATCGAATGCTATGTTCTATAAAATAATTTTGAGATAATAAATTTTGAATATTGATTGGTATTATCTGTCCAATTATAACAGTGTTGGTAAGCATACTAAACTTTGATGGTATTGGGTAAAAATTAGACAGAACAAGATTTAGAGTAGAAAAAACCCGAAATAAAACATCAAGATCTACATGTTTAAAACATTAAAACACAAAATGATTTTGAAAGGTTTTGAAAACTGGATTTTCTGATTGGAATTTTTCTTCTTAAGGGAATTACCCGCAACACGCCTATTTTGGGATGGGCCAATGTTATTACAAGATATATATAAAAATTTATTTCAGCTGGAGCAGTTGTTCAAGACAATGGATTAGATAGGCTGTATGTTGGGTTGATTGGTGTGTTATGTGGTCTTGTATTCTGTATTGTTATTGCTATTATTATTTACTTCCTGTGCAGAAGCAGGTGAGATAGACTTTGTTGAATATACTTTATCATCGCGCCTTCGTATTATTTGCACTTTTGATTTCGAATGAGTGCTATGAAAAGCTCCACACTTTTGTAATTACAGACTTCCCAAAACCGGCCAGTGTATTGTAATGTTTCTTCTAAAATGATTTCTCAAGTGCAAATTTGTTTTATTTATCAGATGGCGTCGAAAGTTATTAGTTTCTGAAAGAAGACGAACAAAAGAAGTTATATACGACGATATACCCGATTTACCACCAGATATAGCGGTTAATAATAATCTTTACGAGGAACCAAGCACAGAATCAAGATCTTTTGACAATTTATCAAACCGACCATTACCTCGGATTGTTGTCGATTCTTCAAGTGGTTCAAATCTTGTTCGTGCCAAACATGACCAGAGAGAAAGCAGACCATATGAAAATCAAACTGGTCCTTATGAAAGAGTGGATGAAACCAATGACCAATCAATAACTAGAACCAAAGTACCTGTTACTACAGGAAGTGATATGCCAAATCTACAAAGGTCAACACAATCAGTAGCCACGAGTGATCGTAACCCCTACATTGATATGTCTAGAGGTAATCAAGCAGTGCCAAATCAAAGCAGTAGCTCTGTGGAAAATGCAGCTACTGATCAGGCAGCGGGTGCCAGAAGGTCTGTCTTGGAACCTAAAGAAGGAGATACTGATTCTATCTCGACTGTTGGTAGTTGTTGTAGTGATAAATTGCATAATGAGCAAAATGAAGTACGTGATGCGGCTGAAAATGTTCAGAAAAGGAAGGAAAATGAATATGTGAAAATGGGAGATATGAGTGGAACCAGAGCGAAAACAAATTCTGACTCTGGAAATCCTGGAGAAGGCTACGTAAATCGCAGCTTTTGCTGATTAAATTTTTTCGGTCAACTAATTGACTCAAAAGATTATGTGATAACAAGCATAATACTCGTAATATATATTATTTATTATATTTTATTTTTCATTTAAGCAAAAAGAAATTGTACAGCAATTGAAAATATATCATATCATATAATACTTAAAAGGATTTCTCTTTCCGCATATTACAAAATTATTTAATTGTTATGTATGAGATAATTACAGTTACGGGAAAACATTGATTTTCGATTGATAGAGCCCAAATTTTTCTGAAACTTTTTTGTAAATGTATATGTTGTCCTTGGCCCCTTAAAACAGTTTAGAATGGTTAAAGATATCGTAAACTTTGATCAAAATTGTTCCATTAAATACGACAGTAGTATTAAAGCTTTTAATAAAATTTGTAACTATCAATATACAACATAAGATTTAAAACTATTAAAAAATATTAATTGTTAGCAAGTTAATTCCATTACGACACTTTGTGTTCGTTAAAAAATGTAAATTTTTCATTTCAAGGCGGGTTTTTATGAACTATTTATTCATTTTCTATATTCCCCAGCAATAATATGTATTCCGAGTGATGAGTTTTTACTGTATAAATTTCCAGAATGTGCCTCGTTTAATAATATAATACATGTATACTATATTTAATAATGATAAAAAAATATTAAAAAATGAAAAAATATGTTGGCAATTACAAAATAATAAGCTAAAATTAAAAGTACATTTTATACCACGCCAGTATACTATAAAGGTCTATAGTAACGTGTTAACTGTTATTATTAATTGTACGAACGCCTGTGTTCTAGGCATACTTGCGCATGCACTGGGCTATGTAAAATACCCCGGTTTTCATTCCGCCATTTTATTTTGTTTACTTTTCAATAACAATTTATATCATCCCAAAGTAGTTGTTAATCTGCACGAGTGTTGTGTTGGTCTATACTGACGTGGTGGCTGAATACGGAAACGAACTTATCCGAACGACGCCTGGCTTTCTACATATCATTTTATCATGTTAATCGTATATAAAAAATATATAGCGTATATTAAGATGTGATTTGTTAGTTATCTTTTTAATATACATAGATATATTATATATTATATTATTTCTAATATTACTGTATTGTTACTTCTGCCTATATAATTTAAGCGAATTATTATAATAATATAAATATTAATGATTAGTTTTTAGCAGGAATTAGCATAATCTGCAAAGTGGTCTAGGTATTCACCAATAGCATCAAAACAAAACTTGAACTGTATCTGAAATAAAATATTTATATATGATGAGAAATGTTATGTATAAACCTTCAACCGATTGGTCTGGCTATCATGTCTGAGCCCAAACACATCTTATATGATATACATTAGCGAACGGACCTTGAGCAAGGTGCGAACGTGTATCAGAGAGAACTGCCGTGTGTCCTCACCTAGTATAGCTGTAGATTATTTTCATTACATTTGTACAGCATTTGTCCCATCGAATCACGAATACGGGTTTTGTCATTGTCTTATTAATCCCGAGGAAGTACGACGAATGGGGGTGTGGTTTAGACACTATGTATTTGTCCATGCAATAACCTACCCGATGTCTTCTATTTAGAAGTTTAAACTTACATAATTGGTGATGATTTGTGGTCGGATGACTCGGAATTGATTAATAACTTGGAAAACATTGACACTCTGTTCTGCTATCAATCTTTCTAACATGGCGGCTAATACACAGAATAAACCACTCTTAACAGCACCATTACTATAAGATATGAAAATGACATAGAGCATGTTCCGTGGGCTATGGCTTGCGACACCTACCACATACTTATAACAGTTGTGTTCAAATTCAATACAATATTTGGATTCTTTATAAAAGCCTCTTTTATGCATAAATACTTTTCAAGCTTCAACAATTGTTTTGATTATTATGTTATTATTTATCACGTGGACTGATTAACATATAGTTTGGGCGATAGTGAAATCAATGAAGTTTATCAGCTTGGGTTGAACCTTCTTATCTCTTACCTTACACCTATTTTTATAAACCATGTTCCTTTAGCCATCAGATTAATTACAAGGCTACGAAAAAAAGTGTAAAAGTGAACTTACTAGCAATGAATAAGAATTGGTCTGTATTCGTCTTTACAGATTGCTATTTTTCTGCTGTTGATATCTGTTATTAGTGTAAATAAAGGCGAGGAGTTTTCTGGTATTACGGATTCTTCTGGCCAGAAATGACATTGGTAGTGGTATATAACCTTTTCTTCCTCACCCTGAAATATGATGTATGTCCATGTCCAGTTAAATATCACGTAACAACATATAGACAAATGCCTTATGGCGAATTGGACAAAAAAAAAACCATAAAAAGGTGTTATAAATTTCAAAATATAAATTTGATATGTCTATGGAAAAGGTGAATACCCTTTGAAGTCTACCCGGACATCAAGCCGTTTTTTTTATATAAAAAATGTATCCTACCAGATAATGCATTTGAGATAGTTCAGTAATAAGGTTCACCTAGTTAGACTTTGCGACTAGCATAATCAAAAAGCATGTTCAACTAGCGGTCTCTTCGGAAATCTTGTAGATCACAGATTGCACAAGTTTATGTTCTGCTTGATCTGGTTTCTCAGATAGACTGTAACAGTTTAGATGAGATGAAAATATAACAAACCTCATCTTGAGTGTAGGTCAAGGTTAGTTTAGAGAGAATGAACAAGTTACCCTCCATCGCTTCGATCTGTCTGGAAAGTTTAAAGGGTCCATGGGTAAAAGTTTTCTTGTCGTCTGGTAAATATTGACCAATAGACTGCAAGATATGTAACACATTTTATGAATATTTAAAACCGTAGGTGATAAGGCGGTTAATTGGAATAAGACGCACTCAATCTCGTCTGATTGCAAATGTTTTTGTGACAATTTTAACCATTGTTTTGAGATACCATTTTTGTCAGACAAATTTAATGTAGTACCACCACTACAGCCTTAATCTGGATCGACCCCAATGGGTGCAAGACAGTAATGGTAATCAGGCTAACCTGTTTATGTGTTAAATTATAATCTATATCAACAATAACACAAGTATTTGTATCGAATACCAGTCGAATAAAGTCAATTACAGTTGTTTCTAATGGTGTCTGTGTTAATATGTATCCATGCTTCTCAAAATAACTCTGAAATTACATTTTATAACAAATAAATAATTTACACTGCACAAAAAAAGCTATATAGATTTTTGTTGGAATTCTAAAAATGTTTGAGACAATTAAACTGTAGATTCCTTCATTTTTGTAACTATTGTCCACAATGAGGAAACTGCAGTTACTTCACACTCAATGTAGACTTTTTCAGTCTCAAAACTGACTTGAGCATGAGAGTTCTGTTTGAGCCTGTTTCCGATACAAAATTCGCCATTTTGGACACCTGCATTGGACATTTTCGATTTTCTACAATTGTTCTATGGTTTTACTTGTGATCAACTTACTGGTAGATAAACAGCATTAATATAATCAGTAGAATTTGGGACTGGTGTCAGTAGATAAGGTCTACACTTGTCAGCTGAAATAGTAAAACATGTTTTAAATGAACACAAAATATGATGCCCGTAAAGTAACAAAACAGATCTTTAAATTTACGTTATAATAACTAAAACAATAGAATTATAAGACTTACAGGCTAATATTTCTAAAGATCTATTCTTATCTTTGTTTTCATCTTGTAATGCTGTGGTGCAGTTTCCATCGTTTTGTTTTGGTGAATATGTGGACAGCGTCTAAAATAGTATGTTATTCATTATATCATTTTAACATAATATTTAATGTCATTAACTCCCTTTTAAGTTTTTCTCGAATTTTATTATGCATAAACAATCATTTTGATTACCAAGTTAATTGCACGGATAGCAAAAAGCATATCTTATACCGAGAATTCAACAGATTTTCAAAATTTTTTGATGTAAGTCCATTGGCATTCAATTTTCAAAAACTGTATGACCAGACAACAGATGACAAAAAAACCTAAGCTGGATTTTGTTTTATTATGTTGTTTATTCATAAAATAGAACGTAAGCAGTAATACAAATGGTTTAATATCGGTGATACATTACAGACTCGTAGGCCATTGGCAAGCTTCTAGAACAAGCGTGATCATAATCACGTGTCTCTCGTGATGACGTCATATAGCGGGAAATACAAACTTGTTATCTAACAGTACATAATACAACAGATTTTAGCCAGTGAATAATTACCTTGAATATATTTACAAGTTTACATTTCATGGTTCCTGTTGATTTTTTAAGAAGGTCCTGATAAGTAGATTGATAACCAACAACTGAAGTGGTGACATTTTTAGATACATACCAATTTAACAATGCTTCATGTAAAAATATATATTGATCCTGAAAAATAAAATACACTTGTGCAGATACATCTGCTTGTTCTTCTGAGTTCTAAATAATTCATTTGGAATATTGTGAAACTGAAACTGCATTCAACGATCAGTCAGAAAAATTCTACAGCCGTCTCTCATCAATTCAAGAAGTTTATTTTCCAACATCAAAATTTAATAACTGTTCATGAAAAAAAAAACAGCTGTCGGCAGGGGTCGACAGTGTTTAACTGCCAACTGAATAAATTTTCATTTTCACATTTTAAAAACACAACAGTCAGTGTATTTATTTGAGATAAAGTACATGTAATTCGCACCTTGGTTTGAACCATGTTGACTCTTTCATATCTCATTCTGTGAACACAGTTAAAAACATCCACAGCTTTGTTGGCCTCTCCTTCTGATATCAGATAATCTAAAGCTACAAAGGTACCAGTTCTTCCAACACCAGCACTGAAAAATAAAACATAATCTTATAGTGGCTTGTGACTTGTACTATTCGGTCACAAACACCAATAGGCCATAGACTGATGGTCATCTGCAAAGTCGTTCTTATTTTGAACATGAGCCCTGTATACCCATTACCGCAGAATGAGATGAAACCGAAAGTAGGTATTTCTTTCCTTTTTCGAGTATCACATAAGATAAAAACCCCGTTAATTAAAACAATTATTGTGCTAATTAAGTCCGGGCTATAACTATAATTTACGTCCCCATGTGTATAAGAAAACGATATTAGATAAAATGATAATAAGTTTACCTGCAATGGACAACCATTGCTCCTGGAAATTCAGTACTTGAACGAACGACTTTATTTCTGAATTCTACCAATGATGAAATGTCATTTGGTACACTTTTATCTGGCCAAGATACATAATGATACTGTTTGATCATTCTCGAGCTTTTATCCTGTAATAAATAGATGTTTTGAGCCATAATGTATGTACTGTTAAGAAATTAGGGGTTCCCCACAGAAGCTTTTAAGTTTTTCAACTTTCTTCAATTTTCAAAATTCAATATTTCCTCGCATTCGAAAACCAAAACCATCATCTTCATGGCCTTAAGATATTTGTCTCTCTTTATTTCTTAAATGAAATCGACAAGATGAGGCTATAGTATACCTATATGCCTTTTAAAATTTTTGTTCGGCATTTTGCATCAATATCAGTTTTACTGTTATACCTACTTTAGTCAAGCGTAAGGTTCGTACTGTTAAGTCTGCGAAGACATCTTCTCGTATGGTAGTGATAGTTATTTTTCCATATTTGACATCGTTACCCAGTGACGGCCAATAAAGTGTGCATTTAACCTGACAAATGATAATAATACATTTAGAACTATTCTATTTCTAATCATAACATTTGAAAGAAGGGTATCGGGTACTTTGTAAAAACCATTTTTGGGGGAATGAGGATACTTTGCGATTCTCCAATTGTTCCGGGTTTTTATTTCTCGATCTCAAATCCTCTTTATCATTTTGGGGAAAGACAAACGATATCTAAATATATCGTTCAATGAATAGCCTAATGTTTCCTGTATATGAAGATCCGTTAATTATGTGAATTATAGCATGTTTTAAATTGCGTTGTGAAAAGTAATCTGGCCAATCCCCGCCAATTTCGTCTACCATAGGTTCAACTTGTCAATAATTCTCTATACAAATAGTCGATAAACCTACGTACCACTCCCATTTCCGTCAGGTTGGTTAACATGACAATTTTTCCTGTTTCAACATCCCATATCATTCTCCAGAACTCCACTATATTAACAGGTGTAGGTCCTACAAGAAGACTTATTTAGACACCCTACGCTGTCTATACCGTTCTAGCTATTGTATTTTGCCGTTTGATTTTATACAACCATTGGTTTCAATTATCCAGATTCTCAATGCTCGACATATCATTAGTTTATTGTTTAAAACATACTTATGGTCACTTGACTATGCATAATTCAAGATTATTTTTTTTTGCATGTCCACATCAACATTTGAAGTTCTGATGTTTCTACGTATGGCAACTTTTGGTTTGGAGTTTGGAATGCTATAATATATTTTAGTTTAGCTTGGATTGTGATGAGCATTGATAAGCTTTTTTTTAATATTGCAGATCTTTAAGGAATTGGCCAATTATTGTTGAAAGAACTTGGTGGGATGTGAAAAGTTTGATTTTCTGATAGTGTAACGAATGATGTTATTTGTAGATTAATTAATCATGTAGTTTGGGCAACTATTTTTCTGAAAAATGTTCTGGGTTTACGTTGCGTCGAGGGATGGCGGTTATTGCTTTCAATTGCGACACGGCGTAATTTTTTTTTATTTTAATCTTACTTTCATTTACTTTATGTTCTTTGGGAGATTTATAAATAACATATAAGTTATTTTACCTTGAGATGCAATATATTTTGGTTTTTCTGAATTAAAACCCTGGAATAAAAAATCGTAATCAAGATTTCAGTCATCAGTTACACACTGTGGTTTCAAAAATATTTCTTTAAAACCAGAAATGTGATACAAAACCTCGCAAGAAATATAGGATTTAAATGATCCTACCGCAATATAACAGGCGTTGATGTAATCTGTGCTTGGATCGCTGTTTTCTATGTTCAGTTTAACTCTTGTATCATCATCTGAAAAGGAAATAACCAACCATCATTTTCATAGATTATAAGTTCTCCAAAAAGTAGTAGGCCTTTTAAAAACAATTATAAATATATATTTTAAAACACAATATTTGTGACATAGGCAACTTTTACACAAAATTGTTCAGTCTTCGCCCTTTCTGTGGCTTCTCTTCTAAAGCATTTCAATCATATACTATCTACTATACAAGAGTATTTATTTCATGGTGCCATCTGCCATTGGCTCGAATATTATGTAAAGCAATTACCTAGCGCAGAGTTGAACATGATGTAAAACAATTACTTTTATATTTTGCTACGAAATTACTTGAATATTTTGCTAAGCAATTGCTAAGTAAAGTTATTACCAGGTCATGTAAAGCAATTCACTAGAACATTATGTGAACCAATTTATTAGAACATTGTGTAAAGTAATTTATTAGAACATTATGTAAATCAATTTATTAGAACATTATGTAAAGCAATTTACTAGAACATTCTGTAAATCAATTTATTAGAACATTATGTAAAGCAATTTACTAGAACATTGTGTAAATCAATTTACCAGAACATTGTGTAAATCAATTTACCAGAACATTGTGTAAATCAATTTACCAGAACATTGTGTAAATCAATTTACCAGAACATTGTGTAAATCAATTTATTAGAAACTGTGTAAAGCAATTTGGTTGTCACTATCTAGAAAATTAACGAACAAACGCTTGGGAAACAATTTTTAGATCAAAAACTGCAATAAACACCTTAGACACTTACATGCACAAATCATTTTGTATCTATTTTTAGATTTATTCTCAGCTGATAAGGCAATAGAGTGGGCAGCACATAATCCGGTAGGTAATTTCTGAAATGATAAGTGCCAATTTCATGAATGTTTATTCTTGCATAATTGGATGATTGTCTTCATAAATTGATAAAGATGAGGATTTATCCTGCTATAAGTAGTCTATAATTGTGAACAGGAGCTTGTAGCCAGAAACATTGTTATCTTAAAGATTGTTCAGGTCTCAAAAATCATGATATTATTGCCAGGATATATAACAGTTTACAAGAAAATAGAATTGTTAGTTTTTCTGGCTATAGAATAATACAGAACTATTGTATGTACTCATTCGTCTTCAGTCGTCAAGGACTGTGAGTAGTTACTCCAGCATATGGCCAGAGACAGATATTCCGGTCAGGTTTTCTTCAAACTGTATGATATTAGATCTCACTCACCTGAAACTGTTGGTACAATGCACTATTCGCTTTGCACGTTTCGATTGTGGACCATAAATTTGTTAATCTAATAAGTGTGGATGACGTTGATGATTCTCCAGAATTCTGATAAACAGCTTCACTTTCATTTTGTGGTACATTATCATAAACCACTGCTATTGTTTGAAAACAAG